GACGCCAACTACGTCGAGTCGGACGCCGCCAAGATTCGGTATGCGGTTTCACTACTCAGGGGCCCCGCCATGGACTGGTGGCGAGTCATCGTGACGTCGCCACGCGCCTACGAGCCACCGTCGCACGAGGAAGGGCCCTCGGGTCCAGCTGTCACCTGGAGTTCGTTCTGCGAAACAGCCCAATACAGCACGTGGGATGCGTGGTGTGCAGGGCTTCGGGCGCGTTTTGAGCCGATCGCGGCTTCAATTTCGGCGCGTCAGAAACTGCGCACTTGGCGCCAGCTCGGGTCGGTTCAAGACTACACCAGCGGTTTTCTCGCACTTTGCGAACAGGTCGGCTACATGCACGAGGCGGAGCGGGTGGACCGTTACGTCGGAGGGCTGAAGCCGGACATATCGCACGAGATAATGCTACGCGGACTATCGAATTTCAACGAAATCCTCGCGCTCGCCGAGAAAATCGATATCCTACGCCGACCGAGACCGGGGTCCTATTTCGGACATCGTCCTCGGGGACCGATCGAGCACGCCACTGTACATGCCGTCGCAACGAATGCAGCTGCCACGCCATTTAGAGGGCACTGCTTTGCTTGCAACCGGCCGGGCCATCGCAAGAGCGAATGTCCAGAGGAGCTGAGACGTCGAGGAGCAGAGCAGGGGAAGGAGTCTCGGAGGCAGGGAAACGCCAGCAGTCAGTAGAAGTTGGGCCAACTACTGACGAGACTGCCTGCTCGCCCAACCACACCGACCCTCACCGAGTCACAGTACCGATTCACGCCATCGATCGGGCTCGGATGAATAAGGAGGGTACAGCGACGGATTGCCCGGTACTGATCTACGGGAAAATACAGGGAGCAGCAGTAAAAATCTTCATTGACGGAGGAGCAAGTCACAGCTTAGTTAATACTGCAACCGCACGGAAATTACAGTTAACACTTAACCGATGTTTACCTGAGATAGATGCACGCTTAGTCGACGGCACGCCATTGGCCATACGAGAAAAGGTGGAGCGAGTAAAAGTCCGCTGCGGGGGAAACTTCGGGTTTACACAGGAAATGCTCGCAACGACGCTGGATGGGCACGACATTTTACTGGGACGTGATTGGCTGCGACGGTACAACCCACGAATCGACTGGACGACGGGGAGCTGCACAGTGCGAAGTAGCGGTAACTGGGTCGTCCTACCTCGCTGGCGGTCACCTGAATCTTCGACAGTCCAGGTCAACGCCATCGCGATGAAACGGGCTGTCGCTGCTGGAGCTGACGTGTACGCAGTGGATATCGCAGTGGTAGAAAAAGACGAGCAGCATAACGATTTACAGAAACTGCTAGCAGCCGTACCGACCGAATTACAAGCACTACTGAAACGGTTCCCGGGGATATTTCCGGATGATTTACCACAGGGACTGCCACCTCAGCGAGCGCACGACCATAGGATCGAGCTAGAACCAGGGGCACAACCAACAGTACAGCGGCAATTTCGACTGACACAGCCCGAGCTCGACGAGTTAAGGAAGCAGTTAGAGTACCTGTTAGAGAAGCAGTTTATTCGCCCAAGCTCGTCACCGTTCGCCGCACCCATACTGTTCACACCGAAAAAAGACGGAGGTTTTCGCATGTGCATCGACTACCGAGCGCTTAACCGAGTAACAGTCAAATCGCGATACCCCATCCCCCGCGCCGACGAACTCATTGACCAACTGCGAACGGCACGTGTCTTTTCGAAAATAGATTTACGGGGAGGTTACCATCAAATTCGGGTCGAACCATCGGACTGCGCAAAAACAGCATTTAGGACTAGGTACGGGTCATTCGAGTATACAGTAATGCCTTTCGGGTTAACGAACGCGCCTGCGACTTTTCAGATGACCATGAACGAGGCGTTTAGACCGCTTTTAGATAAATGCGTGATCGTTTACCTCGACGATATCCTCGTTTACAGTCGGGATAAGCAGCAACACTTAGCAGACCTCGAAGCAGTTTTTAAGGTTTTAGAGGAACATCGGCTGCTCACCAAAGGCTCCAAGTGCGAGTTCTTTAGGGATAGGCTAGAGTTTTTAGGTCACGTCATTTCCGAGGCTGGGGTTGAGATCGACCCAAAGAAGCTGGATACGGTAAAAGCGTGGCGCCCCCCGACAAACATCACGGAACTGCAGAGTTTTTTAGGGTTTGTTAATTACGTTCGACGGTTCGTGCCCGCCATGGCACGTTTAACAGCCCCACTAACTGATTTACTGCGTAAGGGGGTCACTTTTACGTGGGGGGAGAAAGAGCATGCTGCCTTCTCTGCCCTAAAAAACGTCCTTTGTTCACCACCCGTTCTACGTATCGCTGATCCCCACCGCCCTTTCGAAGTGGTTACCGACGCAAGTAACATCGCCATCGGAGCTGTACTGTTACAGGACTTCGGCAACGGCCTCCAACCCATCGCCTACGAATCACGCAAACTACATCCGCCTGAGCGAAATTATCCGATACACGACCGCGAAATGCTCGCGATCGTGCATGCATTCAAAGTTTGGCGCTGCTACTTGACTGGCGCAGACGTGACAGTACGGACAGACCACCGATCTCTACAGTACCTCCGCGCACAGCCCCACCTCAACCCACGACAGATTCGATGGCTCGATTTCCTCGAGTCGAATTTTCACTATACGGTCACATACAAAAAAGGAGCATCGAATATCGCCGACGCACTGACCCGCCCCACTGCCCAGATCCACGCGATACTACTCGCCCAGACCAGCCCACTGCTTACCGGCCTATTTACCCACGGATATCAAACAGACTCGTTCTTTACAGGAGGCAACTCACAGCAATTCGCAGCGGCAAAAGGAGTCTATTACGTAAAAACTGGAACCGACCGCATCTGGGTACCGGGATACACGCTGCTGCGGGAACTACTGTTACAGGAAGCACACGATGGAGTTACCTCGGGACATTTCGGGGTAGAAAAAACACGGCAGCAGCTGCAGCGGTACTACTACTGGCCAGAAATGTTGACCGATGTGCAACGACATGTGGCATCGTGCCCCACTTGCCAGCTCATGAAGACGAGCAGGAAGCGACCAGCGGGGCAATTACAACCCATCCCGCCTCCAGAGCGTGCTTGGCAGCAGGTGACGATGGACTTCGTCACGGGGTTACCAGCTGGGGCGAGTGGGAATGACGCGATCCTGGTCGTCGTCGATCGACTAACGAAAATGGCTCATTTCGCAGCATGCAGGAAATCCATCACAGCCGAAGAAACCGCCCGACTATTCATCTCTACCGTCGTACGACTGCACGGGATACCCGCGTCGATCATCAGCGACAGGGACACGAAATTCACCAGCAACTTCTGGCGAAACCTGTGGCAACAGTTCGGCACACGCTTACAGTTCAGTTCATCCTATCACCCCGAAACCGACGGACAGACGGAACGGACAAATCAGACCATGGAGCAGCTGATTCGAGCCACGTGCGACGACCCGAATACGTGGGAACAGCAACTGCCACTCATCGAGTTCGCATACAATAACGCACCATCAGCCACGACGCAACAATCGCCGTTTTATCTAAATTACGGACAGGACCCAACAGTACCCATGACACCGAATCCCGACAACCCCGTCCCACGAGCACAACAGTTCGCCGAGATTCTGCAGGCAGCACGGACCAGGGCAGCAGAAGCAATAAAAAAATCAAACATCATCGCTAAACGCAACGCCGATCGACATCGCAGACCCGTTACTTATCAGCCCGACGACCTCGTTTTACTCGACACTCAGAACCTTCGCCTGCCCATCACTCCAAAACTTCGCCCCCGATATTGTGGGCCATTTCGCATCAGCCACATGATCACACCCGTCACCGCCCACCTCCTCCTCCGCGCTGACTGGTACGTCAGCCCGTCATTCCACGTCAGCCTACTTCGCCCTTACATCCCATCCACGAGCCAATTGCCACGAACTCGCCCAGCCAGCATGACACGTCCCCCAACCGAACCACTCATCACCCCTGAGAAAATCCTCAGCCACCGCGTCCGCGACCCTCGGGGAGCCCGAAGGATCGAGTTCCTAATTCGCTGGAAGGACCGAACGCCCACAGAAGACAACTGGGTCCCCCTGGATAAAATTGAGAACCACCCTGTCTTCACCGAGTATCTGCGAAGCCGAAATTTCCGAGATGTCCATGCGCTCTCGTAAGAAGGGGCCTCCTTGGGGAGGGGGGTAGTGTAAGGAAATTCCCTTTTCCTTACTTCGCGTCCCTGCCCAGCGCGTACGTCACTGTAGCACCTCAGTCAGCACCGTTACCACTCGCGACCATCGCATCATTCATCATCCCGCCTTTTTCGCACATCGCATCCCGACCTCACGGCTCGGCTGGTAACCCGCGCTCCGGGCCTACGCTTCGACATTTTCCCAACCTCAGTCTCAGGCTCGACGCGCGACAACCACAGTCCATTACCGTTACCACTATTGTTTCGCTATATAATCCTTCGCTCATGCCTTCGCTCATTGTACTTTTGCTTCGATAGTGCAATTCTCGTTCGTTCACTCAATTGCACACGTAACAGCTGTATACTACAAAACGTATACAATACAACTTTAGGAAAACAAGCCTGGTAGTGATTTTTTTTTCTTTCCTTAAAACGGTTGATTCGAACTACCTCTTCCTTATTCTGTGTCTTTCCATAATAAATAAAATTTTTGATTCTTCACTTAATATGAGTGAAGTTAACTCTAGGGCTACACATTACAGAGAGGTGGAGGAAGTATACATATCATATTTACTTCTCTAATACCATATCGAAGCATCACTTCTCTAATATACAGAAACGTGCACTGCACATATCGAGGTGTCACTTATCCCAACACCTGTCATGTCAGATCGATCAGACCAATCCCCTCCACCCCCAACCGCACAATGCCACGTTCCAAGTCGGCCACACCGGAGATGGCAAGTATTTTTCTCTTCACTCCTTAGCGCGGTCCGTCGGTTCGCTTTGCAGCAGCTGAATGTTAGAGTTACGTATGGCGGCGGAAGATACATGTCCCGTGCCAGGCGCCGCGTCCAACGGCGCAGCATCCGCGCCCCCATCAGCATGTCCAGACACTTTAGGGGAGCCAGCTGGCGCTCGTGCGCCGTATGATTGCGGCGTACGCCTAAGCGCGCCGAGCAGCTTGGCGGCGCAGCAGGGCGGGCGCGAGGCGGGGGGAAACGAGGAGGCGGTGACGGCGGGGTCGGTGCACCGTGCCATCGTGCGACACGCGCACTGCTCGCTCGCGTGCGGCGATCGCGACAACCTGTCGCCGGGCGACGTTTACCGCGCGGCTGCGATGAGCGTGCGAGACCACCTGATCGCGCGGATGGATGCGACGGAACGCGCTTACGACGACGCGGTGAGGCGCGCAAATCCGAGCGCATTGAGGGTTGGAGACTGAATTCGGATGAAAGATGACTAGTAGGTCGGTTGAGATGGTGGCACAAAGGAGAGAAAGCTTCGTCGTACGTGGATTTCATTAGAGAATGCGTTTGGACGGTGGCTGTGAAATGTTCCTCTTTCCCTTCCCCTCCCGCCCTCTCTCGCCCTCTCTCCGTGCGTGTGCGTGTGCGTGTGCGTGTGCGTGTGAGCGTGCGCGTGCGCGTGCGCGGCGAGCAGGGGTGCAAGCGGGTGTACTATCTATCAATGGAGTACCTTATAGGGCGGATGCTGCAGCTGGCAGTCACATGCCTCGGCCTCGATGTAAGTCCGCTGCACTCTCGCCCTCGCTCTCCCTTGATCCGTCCTCGTTTCGAACCGTCAACACATGCCCCACTCACGCGCCCTTCCACACACGTGCAACTTCTCCACCGCACCCTGTTACCGCCTCACTCCCGCTGCTCCCCGTGCAGCAACCCCCTCATCTCCACCCCCCCCCCCCCCCCCCCCCCCCCACCACCTTCTCCTTGCCCCCCCACTTCCCACCCCACTTCTCGCACCCACCTGCTCCCTCCTCTTCTCTTTCTTCCCCCTCAACAGGAGCAGTACAGTACAGCAGCAGTGCGTGTCGATGGAGGAAGCAGTGGAGGAGGAGCGCGCCCCTCCCCACCCCCTTTTCTCCCATCCCACCCCACCTCCCCCACACAACAGGAGCAGTACAGCGCAGCGCTGCAGCAGCTGGGGGTGAGCATGGAGGAGGCGGCAGAGGAGGAGCGCGACCCGGCGCTGGGCAATGGCGGGCTGGGCCGCCTTGCTGCATGCTTCCTCGACTCCCTCACCACTCTGAACCTCCCCGCCTGGGGGTAAGCTCCGCTGCTGCTGCTGCTGGAGTACTGGGCTGAATGTGCATGCTTGGCGATCAGTGCTGCCACCACCCTCCCTGCCACCATATGGCATGTGCTCCCACTCGCTCCTGCCCTTCGCCTGCTCCACCCCACCCACGCAGCTACGGAGTGCGGTGCCGCTACGGCATGTTTAAGCAGCGCGTGACATTGACAGGCCATACATTGACAGGCCATACATTGACAGGCCATACATTGACAGGCCATACATTGACAGGCCATACATTGACAGGCCATACATTGACAGGCCATACATTGACAGGCCATACATTGACAGGCCATACATTGACAGGCCATACATTGACAGGCCATACATTGACAGGCCATACATTGACAGGCCATACATTGACAGGCCATACATTGACAGGCCATACATTGACAGGCCATACATTGACAGGCCATACATTGACAGGCCATACATTGACAGGCCATACATTGACAGGCCATACATTGACAGGCCATACATTGACAGGCCATACATTGACAGGCCATACATTGACAGGCCATACATTGACAGGCCATACATTGACAGGCCATACATTGACAGGCCATACATTGACAGGCCATACATTGACAGGCCATACATTGACAGGCCATACATTGACAGGCCATACATTGACAGGCCATACATTGACAGGCCATACATTGACAGGCCATACATTGACAGGCCATACATTGACAGGCCATACATTGACAGGCCATACATTGACAGGCCATACATTGACAGGCCATACATTGACAGGCCATACATTGACAGGCCATACATTCCCACTCCCTCCTCTCTTGCTGCCTGCCCTTCCCCTGCCCTCCCCCCAAGCAGCTACGGAGTGAGGTACTGCTTCGGCATGTTAGAGCAGCGCATGACACAGACGGGCCATATAATCCCACTTCCTCCTTTCTTTCTACTTGCCCCCTTCCTCCCAACCCCCTTTCCCCAAGCAGCTACGGGGTGCGGTACCGCTACGGCATGTTTGAGCAGCGGGTGGCGGCGCTGAGGCAGCAGGAGGCGCCGGACGCGTGGCTGCACCCGTGGGGGTGCCCCTGGGAGATCCCGCGCCCCCACGTGCGCCACCCCGTGCGCTTCTTTGGCCACGTGGCAGTGCGTGTGGAGGGCACGCGCACGCGGTACCGGTGGGAGGGCGGCGAGCAGGTGGAGGCGGTGGCGAGTGACATCCCCGTGCCGGGCTTTAAGACCGCCACCGTCAACCGCCTCCGCCTCTGGCGCTGGTGAGGGAGGGGGACGAGGAGGGGAGGGGTATTGGCGAGTGAGGAGTGGTTACTTGGAGTGTGAGAGGGAAGGGGTGCAGAGGTGGGTGTGTTGTGCTGTGCTTCGTGCTGTTATGTCTGTTGGATATTGCCTTGCGCCCATGCTCTGCCCTGCTCCGCCGTGCTGTGCGCTGCACCCCTTTGGTTGCTGCCATGTAGACAAGTCCCTATGCATGCTCCCTCCGTTTCAACAATCCCCACCCGTCCCACCAGCGAGCCGCTTTCGGGCGGCTTTGACTTGTCCTTATTCAACGCGGGGCGGCACGTGGAGGCGGTGGGCGGGGCGGCGAGGGCGGCGGCGATCAGTGCGGTGCTGTACCCCGAGGACAGCAGCGAGGCGGGCAGGCAGCTGCGCCTGCAGCAGGAGTACTTCTTTGTCTCCGCCACGCTGCAGGTGTGTATGTGGGGGGAGAGCGGCTGCCTCGCTCATACTGGGTTTTGAGACGTCTCATAAGACGCCTCAAATCCTCCTCCAATCCCCCTCTCCTCCCTCCCTCCTACCCTTGGCCATCAGGACATAATAGTACAGCACGTGGCACCAGGCCGCCCGGTGTCATCCCTGCCAGAGGCAGCAGCAGTGCAGCTGAACGACACACACCCAGCGCTAGCAGTGCCAGAGGCCATGCGACTGCTGCTGGACGAGCATGGAGAGCTCGGTTCTGCCTCGCTGCTGCACTCATCCCCTCCCTTCCCCCTCCCCTCCCTGCTCTCTCCCCTCTCCCCTCTCCTCCCCCCTCCTCCCTCCTCGCGCCCACCACCCCCCCTTCGTCACCAGGACATAATAGCGCGGCACGTGGCGGCTGGCCGCCCGCTGTCATCCCTGCCGGAGGCAGCAGCGGTTCAGCTGAACGACACGCACCCAGCTTTAGCGGTGCCAGAGGCCATGCGGTTGCTGCTGGACGAGCACGGGCTGGAGTGGGGCGACGCCTGGCGGGCCACGGTGGCGCTGCTGGCCTTCACCAACCACACCGTGCTGCCTGAGGCGCTGGAGCGCTGGCCGGTGCCGCTGCTGCAGACCGTGCTGCCGCGCGTCATGGATCTTATATTTGAGATCAACCACCGCCACCTGCAGGTGAGTTTGGGCCCAGCAGTCAGCTCTATGTCATCTCGAGTCCACTGCAGTCCACCATGTGACCTTGTACGGGGCCAGCGCAATCGTGCCACAGCACAGCAATAGCCATTCAGGCAGCTCAAGAACCAGCCGCCCTCTCGTGGGGCTGTGTGCAGTGTCTTCTTGGGTTGGCTCCATACATTACTCTCTGCGCCTGTGCGGGTGGCGTGGCCTTGCGTGCTTCATGAGGTGCAGGCACGATGCTCAAGTCTAGGTGTTTCAAAAGTCCTAACCGTATTCCTGGATTTGACCTGGTGTGTGCCCGTGTCCTCTGTGCGTGTGTCTTCCTGTGCGTGTTGAGCAGGAGGTGGAGGCGAGGTGCATGGGGGAGGGGCAACGCATGGCACGGCTGTCGATCATAGAGGAGAGTCACCCCAAGATGGTGCGCATGGCCGTGCTGGCAGCCGTTGGATCGCACGCCATCAACGGCGTAGCGGAGCTGCACTCCACGCTGCTGCGCACGCAGCTGTTTCCAGACTTTGTCGACCTCTTCCCCACGCGCTTCCACAACAAGACAAACGGCGTCACCCCGCGCCGCTGGCTGCTGCTCGCCAATCCGCGGCTCTCACAGGCACGTGAAGAGGGGAGGGCAAGGGGCGTCCGGGGGAGGTTAAGGGGCATCTGGGGTTGGGTGGGAGTGGGGAAAAGAAGTGAAGTTTTCCATTTCTTTCTTTTTAGACAAATCAGTCCTGTGACTTCCTCCCCCAAACCTGCTTTCTACCTTCTCCTAGCCTATCAGCCTGATAACCTAATAGTTTAACATCCTAACAGCCTAATAGCCTGACAGCCTAGCAGCCTAATAGCCTAACAGCCTAACAGCCTAACAGCCTAACATTTTAACAGTCTAATAGCCTAACAGCCTAATAGCCTTATAGCTTAATAGCCTAATAGCCGAACAGCCTAACAGCCTAATAGCCTAATAGCCTCACAGCCTAACAGCCTAATAGCCTAATAGTTTTACAGCCTAATAGCCTAATAGTTTTACAGCCTAATAGCCCAACAGCCTAACAGCCCAATAGCCTAACAGCTTAATAGCCTAATAGCCTTACAGCCTAACATCCTAACAGCCTAACAACCTAATAGCCTAATAGCCTAACAGCCTAATAGCCTAATAGCCTAACAGCCTAACAGCCTAATAGCACCGTAGCCTAATAGCCTAATAGTTTAACAGCCTAACAGCCGAATAGCCTAACAGCCTAATAGCCAAACAGCCAAATAGCCTAATAGCCTAATTGCTTAATAGCCTAATAGCCTAATAGCCTAATAGCCTAACAGCCTAACAGCCTAATAGCTTAATAGCCTAACAGCCTAACAGCCTAATAGCCTAACAGCCTAATAGCCTAATAGCCTAACAGCCTAACAGCCTAATAGCACCGTAGCCTAATAGCCTAATAGTTTAACAGCCTAACAGCCGAATAGCCTAACAGCCTAATAGCCAAACAGCCAAATAGCCTAATAGCCTAATTGCTTAATAGCCTAATAGCCTAATAGCCTAATAGCCTAACAGCCTAACAGCCTAATAGCTTAATAGCCTAACAGCCTAACAGCCTAATAGCCTAATAGCCTAATAGCCTAACAACCTAACAGCCTAACAGCCGAACAGCCTAACAGCCTAACAGCCTAATAGCCTAATAGCCTAACAGCCTAACAGCCTAATAGTCTAATAGTTTAACAGCCTAATACTTTAATAGCCCAACAGCCTAACAGCCTAATAGCCTAATAGCCTAACAGCCTAATAGCCTAACAGCCTAACAACCTAACATCCCAACAGCCTAATAGCCTAATAGTCTAATAGCCTAATAGACTAATAGCCTAACAGCCTGATAGCCTAATAGCCTAACAGCCTCATAGCCTAATAGCCTAACAGCCTAACAGCCTAACAGCCTAGTCGCCTAATAGTCTAACAGCCTGACAGCCTAATAGCTTCATAGCCTAACAGCCTAATAGCCTAACAGCCTAACAGCCTAATAGCCTAATAGCCTAACAGCCTAATAGCCTAACAGCCTAACAACCTAACATCCCAACAGCCTAATAGCCTAATAGCCTAATAGCCTAATAGTCTAATAGCCTAATAGACTAATAGCCTAGCAGCCTCATAGCGTAATAGCCTAACAGCCTCATAGCCTAATAGCCTAACAGCCTAATAGCCTAATAGCCTAACAGCCTAACAGCCTAACAGCCTAGTAGCCTAATAGTCTAAAAGCCTAACAGCCCAATAGCCTTATAGCATAATAGCCTAACAGCCTAATAGCCAAATAACCTAACAGCCTAACAGCCTAATAGCCTAATAGTTTAACAGCCTAATGGCCCAACAGCCCAACAGTCTAATAGCCTAACAGCCTAATAGCCTAATAGCCTAACAACCTAACAAATTAACAGCCTAACAACCTAACAACCCCTAATAGCCTAACAGCCCAACAGCCCAACAGCCTAATAGCCTAGTAGCCTAATAGCCTAACAACCTAATAGCCTAACAGCCTAATAGCCTAATAGCCTAACAGCCCAACAGCCTAATAGCCTAATAGTTAAACAGCCTAATATCCCATTAGCCTAACATCCTAATAGTAGTCTAACAGCCTAAGAACCTAATAGCCCAACAGCCTAACAGCCTAATAGCCTAACAGCCTAACCGCCTAACAGCATAACAGCCTAATAGCCTAACAGCCTAACCGCCTAACAGCATAACAGCCTAATAGCCTAACAGCCTAACAGCCTAAGAGCCTAACAGCCTAACAGATCACCAAGTGGCTGGGATCAACCTGCCTCTCATCCTGGGCGTGAGGGCACATGCCAGCTCGCGCACCTACACTCCCATCACCCCTATTTCCTTCTGCGCTCTCTCTCATCCAGGGCCTGCAAGCGCACGCCAGCTTGCCTGCCCACACTTTTCTTCCCCCGTCCCAACCCCTGCTCCTCTCCCCTTGATGCAGGTGATCACCAAGTGGCTGGGCTCGGACGAGTGGGTGCGGGACCTCTCCCTCATCCAGGGGCTGCGGGCATACGCTAACTCGCCCGCGCTGCATGCTGACTGGACCGCTGCCAAGGTGGCCAACAAGGAGCGACTCGCGGTGTATATCCGCAAGACGTGTGGCGTGCAGGTGGGAGAGGGAGAGAGGGATGCGGAGGGAGAGAGGGATGGGGAGGGACAGAAGAGGGATGGGGAAGGCAGGCAAATTCTTACCATGTGTTGGGGTGTGTGACAGGTGGACAGGACAGCAATGACTGTTTGACACACATGCACCTTGCGTCTCTGCCCTGCTCCCATCATCCCCGCACTGGCTCCCTGCACATAAGAAAAGCTAATACTGGCTCCTCACCCCCCCCCCCCCCCCCCCGGCTTTTCTTCTTTTTCGTACCCCCAACATTTCCCTTCTCCCCCACACCAATGGGTGGCAGGTGGAGAGTGCTGCGCTGTTTGACTGCCATGCGAAGCGCATCCACGAGTACAAGCGGCAGCTGCTCAACATCCTGGCGGTCATCCACCGCTACAACAGCATCAAGGTGCAGAGCCCACTGGGATAGCGGTGGTATCATCCCAGTGGTACCACTGGGATAGCACCGCTACAATTGTCCTGCATGGGCCATGTTCCGTGCATGTGTCAGCATGTGCCATGTGCCCTGCACGCGCCATGCAGCAGCCATGCATGTGAAACTGATACCCCGCCTTCACCTCCCCTCCCCCACCGTGCAGTGCAGCAGCTTTGAGGAGAGGGCGCGCATGGTGCCACGGGTGGTGGTCATTGCTGGCAAGGCGGCTCCGGGGTACTTCCGGGCCAAATGCGTCATCCACCTCATCAACGCGTGAGTCCACCTCATCAACGCGTGAGTCCACCTCATCAACGCGTGAGTCCACCTCATCAGAATCCGCTCTCCTCCCAATTCACGTTTCATCCCCACCCCCACTGCCACTCAACAGCGTTACAGCCACTCCCCTGTACCTCCTGCATCCCCAATCCACCCACCACTTCGGCCTGTAATTCCCTCAACCCTCTCCCCCACCTCACAACGCCTCCCTTGGTCTGCATGTGCTGCATCTTGCCCATGCGGCCAGGGTGGCGGCGAGGGTGAACAGTGACCTGGACATCAGCGGGCTGCTCAAAGTCGTCTTCCTGCCCAACTACAGCGTCTCCCTCGCCCAGGTGCCTCACTCACTGCCGCTCTCTCTCACCCTCATGCCCATCCTCACCTTCACCCTTGCTCGCTTTGCTGCTTCCCTCCACTTCTCCACCTTTTTCTTATGCACTCTCCGCCTCGCCATGCCCCCCCCGCCCGTGCTCTTCCCTCTCACCGCCCGCAGCTGATAGTGCCAGCGAGTGACATATCGCAGCACATATCGACAGCGGGCATGGAGGCCTCAGGAACGAGCAACATGAAGTTTGCGCTCAACGGGGGGCTGCTGCTCGGCACCATGGACGGCGCCACCATTGAGATCGCCAACGCCATTGGCCGCGAGAACGTGTTTGTGTTTGGTGCGCTGGCTCACGAGACGCACTCGCTGCGCCACTCGCTGCGCTTCCGCCAACCCATCCACGACGACCGCCTCGTTCAGGTGCTGCTGCTGCCATGCCAGTGCGGATGTCCTGCTGCTGTGCTGCCGTGCTGTCATGCAGCCTCCTTCAGGTGCTGCTGCCGTGCTGGCAGGGGGACGTTCTTTCCAGGATGCTGCAGCCGTGCTGCCATGGGAAGGGGTATGGCAATGGCCAGGTGAATGCTGGCTTGGAATACAGGGTGGGAGGGAGCGACTGTGGACATGCGCTCCACAAACTAACTGGAACCCCCAACCATCCCCAACCTCCCCTTCTCCCCCAGGTGGTGCGCACAATCGAGGCAGGGGTGTTTGGGCCGGCAGACGACTTTCGGCCGCTGCTGGAGTCGCTGGGCGGCGGCAATGATTACTTCCTGCTCTCCCACGACTGGCCCTCCTACCTCGACGCCCAGGTGCCACTTCCCCTCGTCCTTGCCTTCACCCCCAGTTGCTACTTCCCCTCGTCCTCCTTCATGCGGCTTCTTCCATTCGAACTTGAACTGCTGGCCTCTCACGTTTCACAGGTCACGGCAGCTATAACGTGGCTTCACGTGTCCCTTCCAAACCAGCCGCTTCTCAATTCCCTCCTCTCTTCTCCCTTCCAGCCATGCCTATTTCGCAAGTATTCACCCCTGTGTGTGAGCATGTGTTTGTTCGTGTGCATGTGTGCATGGGTGAGTGTGTGCATGTGTGCATGGGTGCATGGGTGCATGTGTGCATGGGTGCATGGGTGCATGGGTGCATGTGTGCATGGGTGCATGGGTGCATGTGTGCATGGGTGCATGGGTGCATGTGTGCATGGGTGCATGGGTGCATGGGTGCATGTGTGCATGGGTGAGTGTGTGCATGGGTGCATGGGTGCATGTGTGCATGGGTGCATGGGTGCATGTGTGCATGGGTGCATGGGTGCATGGGTGCATGTGTGCATGGGTGAGTGTGTGCATGGGTGCATGGGTGCATGTGTGCATGGGTGCATGGGTGCATGGGTGCATGGGTGCATGTGTGCATGGGTGCATGTGTGCATGGGTGCATGGGTGCATGTGTGCATGTGTGCATGGGTGCATGGGTGCATGGGTGCATGGGTGCATGTGTGCATGGGTGCATGTGAGCAGCACTCAGTGGACACGCTCTTCCTCAACCCCACTGAGTGGTGCCGCCGCTCCATTGTATGCCCTCTCCCTCGCCTGCCTCCTTACTCACACCATCCAGATGCATCCTCTGTCCTCCATCCTTCCTTTGTTCTCCACCTTTCATCCACCATCCCCCCTCATGCGCTTGTCCAGGCTTCTGGATCGTCTACTTGCTTGATGTGTCCTCCATTACTGTGTTGAGTGTTGCTCTCAGTGCCTGTTCTTTGTGTGTCTCCTCTCTCAGGTTCTCTTACCACCTGTCCATCATGCTTCCTCCTGCCACGTGTCATTGCAGATAGCAGCATCGATGATGGGCCGATTCAGCAGTGACCGCACCATTGCCGAATACGCACGTGACATCTGGCACCTCCAGGTACATTTGTGGCTGTCGTTTGTTAGTGAGATTTGTGTTAGGAGATTGTTGCATGCAGATTGTTTTGTTCCACATGTTTACTTGAGGGTCCTGGTTTCATGTGTCCTTGCAACTGTGTCCATTTCAGCCTGTTATCGTGCCAGGGGTCCTCAACACTCCGTAACCTGCTTTCCGATGCTGCTCCACTGTTCGTTATAGATACCGTGAGGGAACTTCGATGCGATGTATGTTTCTGTTTGTAGTACAGTGGCTCTCTTTATATATGCTTTTCCAATGGCAATCGTTTGTATCTCTAGCCAAACTAAATTTCGGCCTTATCGAAGCCTTACTTGTCAAAGCATTGCGGTTGTTAGGGGTGCGCCTTCGCGCGGGAAAGATTTTTCCGCAGCCTTACTGCCGACCGTTGACAGATGACGGCTCGGAGAACAAAATGTTTGAAACTTTATTTGTTTGGTAGCGATCCATAAGCCGCCTACGGGCAGCGGAATGCATGCCCATGTCAGCGTCAAACTCGTCAACGAGATTTTGTCAAATACTTCACCCAATGGTCGCCGCCACATGTCGAAAACATGTTTCTTTCACCCAACGACATCTTTATTGTACCGCCAACCGTTCGCCAACTCTGGGAATGGTCGCAACCGTTCGCATAGTCGGGGTTTCTGCCCGCGCTTGGCTTCGCTCCAAGCAAAATCAGTCCTGCGACTCCAATTGAAAATTTATCGTCAAAGTTGTGCGACTTGCGAAAGTTGATAGGAAAGCTCGGCGAGGCACGTCGCATTGTGTCGCGCCGTTAGGGCTTTTTGGAATCAAAAGCGCGCGGCACGTCCCGAGCGCCGCGTTGAGTCACACGGGTTGATGGATGATGCTCCCATCGCAGCGCAAATGAAATCGCTGCTGTCGCTGAGACGATGGATCACAAGTCTACGGCCATGCGACAAAGTGGCGCCGACTAAATTACCCCTCATTCTCCATTCTATTCATCGTTCCACCATCGTCGCTCAGTTGTTTACAAGATCGTCCAGTGACCGACGAGATCTGTCGGCGAAGGCATACATTGATGCGCTTTCGTGGGCCAGTTTGGAGGCTTTCACATTTCCCGCTGCCGTCACTCGTAGCATTCGTTTCGATACATGCCAAGCAGGCACCCCGAAGCCAAACACCACCCATCACCTCACCTTGTCACGCCCAGACAGCATCGTAACGTAACTGCAACTTCAACCCATATTCCTCCACGCTGCTACGATTCAGGCGCGAATTCCTCCGGAGTTGAATCTCTAATACCAGCTTCTCCAAAAAACTGCTTGCGCTATCCATGAGGACAAACCAGCATTAGCACCACGTACTTGTATCAGGCAGCGCAAAGCCCAGGAGTGTAGTGAGGGCGCAGAGTAGCGGGCGTTCCGCGTGCAATGTGGCCCGACTGCTACCCTCCCCGGCACGGCTTTCACAACGGTGCTGCCGGCGCCGCGTCAGGCCCGCATGGCCCGTACGGTCGAATTCAGAACGCACAATCGTTCCACGCACCCAGACAGCAGCAACAACAGCAGCAGTTACAGCAGCAGCCACAGCAGCATCAGCAACAGCAGTCGGGATTCTCTAACGGTCAGTTGCAGACGTCGTTCGGATGCCAGTCCGCCCCCACCTCTCCGTCCAAGCCGCCGCCCTTCGCGCGGCGAGCAGGCAGCGCCGACGCCGGCTCGATAGCGTCCGACGCGGGCAGCGCGTACGCTGAGAGCTCCGCGTCGGGCGACGACGACGGGAGTGCGGGGTGGAGCATGGCGGGCGAGGAGGGCAAGTCGAACGACGCGTTCCACGTCATCCACAAGGTCCCCGTCGGCGACTCGCCTTATGTCCGCGCGAAACACGTCCAGGTACGAACCGGACCAGAAACGGTTGTAAATTAGCATTTATCACAGGAGTACCGTTTCCCATCCCGCAATGCGCCTTCTCACCCGTCCCTCCGCCCTACCCTCGCTTCCCCCAACACTTCTTTCCCCCCCCTCCCCCTGGTTGCGCGCAGCTGGTGGACAAGGACCCGGTGCGCGCGATCGCGCTGTTCTGGTCGGCGATCAACGCGGGTGACCGCGTGGACAGCGCGCTCAAGGACATGGCGATCGTGATGAAGCAGCAGAACCGCCCCGAGGAGGCCATCGAGGCCATCCGCTCGCTGCGCCACAAGTGCTCCGAGGTGGCGCAGGAGTCACTCGACAACGTGCTGCTGGACCTCTTCAAGCGCTGCGGGCGCCTCGACGACCAGGTGGCGCTGCTCAAGCACAAGCTCGACATGATCCGCCAGGGCGTCGCATTCAACGGCAAGCGCACCAAGACGGCGCGGTCCCAGGGGAAGAAGTTCCAGGTGTCGATCGAGCAGGAGGCGACGCGGCTGTTGGGGAATCTGGGGTGGGCGTACATGCAGCAGGGAAATTATGTGGCGGCGGAGTCGGTGTATCGGAAGGCGCTGCGCGTGGAGGCGGACAGCAACAAGGTGTGCAACCTCGGCATCTGCCTCATGAAGCAGGCCCGCATCGTCGAGGCGCGCGCGTTGCTCGAGTCCGTGTCGCCTAACAGCGACCCGCGTTGGGGATCCGAGTCGCACATTAAGGTGAGCCTAAGATGCCTCTTGGTCTCTCGCATTGCTTATCAAATTCGTTTCTCGCCCTCCACCCGTCCACCCGTCTTGCATTCTGTCTCAACGCTCGTTTCCAACCTTCCTTCGTCTCTTTCTCGTCACGTGCCGCCATGGCAGTCGTACGAGCGCGCGCAGAGCATGCTCGTGGAGCTCGAGACGTCAGCGGCGGCGGCCGAATCGGCCAAGGACGGCGCAGCTGCCAGCGCGGGCACCAGCGGCGGGGAGGACGCTAGCGCCAGTGACACGGGCGGTAAATCCGCCGCCTCCGCCTCCGCGCCGTCCGCAGCACCCAGCGGCGATGGGGTCTCATCCGACAAGCTCCCGCAAGTCAAGCCCGCGTTTCGCGGCATGGGTGGCATGGGCATGGGCATGGGCTTGGCGCGCAGCTCGTTCCAGCGGCACTCGTCGTACCTGTGCGAGTTCCTGGGCGCGCCCGACATGTGGGACTCGCTCATGGCTGACAGCAGCGCCGCCGGGGGGAACGCAACTGCGGAAGGAGCGCCGGCATCTCCACAAGGCGCCGCAGGCGGTTCTTCGGGCATCGCGGGCATGCAGTCGCGGGGACCGCCGGATGCGCCGCCGCCGCAGAAGCAGCAGCAGCGGCCGCTGCAGGCGCAACTGCAGTGCATGCGGAGGCCGCCAGCGACCGGCGCTATGGCGCGGACAATGAGCATGGGCGCGGGGTGCGGCAACCCGCTCGCGCGCTCCATGAGCTTCGGCGGAGCGGATGCGCGCGGGGGGCTGTCGTGTCTCAAGCCCAACGCGCCCGAGTTCATGCCCGGGTCGTTCGGCCCCATTCCTCCCCCCGGCCACGGCTCCGCTCCGCCCTTCATGCACGGTGCTCCGCCCCCGCCTCCCCCTGGCGACGGCCGGCGCACGCTCACCGCCTCCCGCTCGCTCCCCCCGTTGCAAATTCCCACCGCGGGATTCGCGCATGCGCCGTCGTTGGTGTCGCCGCTGGGTCCCATGTCAAGCGGCTCGCTCTCGTGCTCCTCGAGCTTTAGCGCCGCGTCGTGGGATGACGGACTTATGATGTCAGCGTTCGAGAGTGACGACGACGTGCTCTGCGAAATGCCCACCGACAGTTACCAGCCGTCTGCTGCGGCTATCTCCGTTGCTGCGGGGGTCTGGGCATCGCAGAAGCCGCCCGCTTCGGCGCACCTCGCTGCCGCAATGCGCAAGGGTGGCGGATTCCCCGCGCCCGGGCAGCGCGCGTTATACAGGGGCACAGAGAACGTTCCGCAGTACATGGCGGGGGGTGCGCCCATCGGCGCGGGCGGGCCTGGCGCGCGGAGGCCGCTGGTGTTCGGGTGCGAGAACCCTGCGCCAATGGCGGCGAAGGCGCAGATGGTGGCGGGTGGGCTGATGGGCGGGGGCAACATGGGCATGCAGTTGGGCGTGGAGATGGGCGGAGGGATGACGACGGTCATGGGCGAGCGCACGAACCTCGAGCCCCCCGCGCAGTTCATGGGCGCATGGGGGGCTGTGGCGCAGGGGAAGGGCGCATGGGGACCTGCATGGGGAGTGCCTGGAGAGGGGGGAAGCATGGGTGAGGGGGAGAAAGCCAAGGATCAGCAGCAGGTGCAGCATCAGCAGTCTGTGGCGGGACAAGAGGTGGGGGGATCGGGAATGAAGAGAAACAGAGTGCCGACCCCAGTGAAGGCTGCTGCTCCCAAGGGAGAGAGAGGGAGCGACGCGGAGGGAGGAGACGCGAGTGGAGCGCAGGAGGGCGGGCCGGTGGTGCCGAGGGCGCTGTGGGAGATGCTGGGGTTCACAGGCAGCCCTGACAAGCTGCTGCTGGAGGAACTCAAGGCCACCGACAGTGCCAAGAAGCTGCTCGCCTCCGCTGGGTCTGCTGACAGGCAGCAGGGCAGCGAGCGACGCACGCTGTTTGCTGACAATGCTGATACTGTGGCTGCTGCAGAGGTGAGCGGTGCTGCTGCTGCCACCACTCTGACCAGCCCCACTGCAGGCAGCTCCCACGTGGAGGTCAAGAGGCCCCGCCGCCTCCGCATTTTCCAGGAAATGACATACGTTGGAGCAGCTGCATAAACTGGAGGCAGACTACTAGGCACAAACTGGAGCAGCCCTGACAAGCTGCTGCTGGGATTCAAGTTTATGCAACTGCCCTAATTGACTCTGATGCTGAACTGCCATAACTGGAGCTGCTAAATCTTACCCCTTACGCGCATGCAGGCACTGGACGAGACAGCCTCATGACAGCTTGTCTAATGAGGTGCCCAACTGCATACTCTGAAGTTCTCTTGAGTTGACCTTTTAAGCTGTTAGTTTATTGTAGGCTTTGTGATCCTTAGTCTAGTGAGTAGAGCTATTTATTTAGCACCTAGGACTATTGGTAAATCACTGTTTTTGCCAGCATACTAAGCATTCATAGATCTTTTCTTCAAATCATGTTTCAGTTATGGAGCTGAGGGCTGGTTTATATTGTCAAATAAGGTGTTGCTGGTATCACTGTAGCACTCCACTCTCAGCCTGGCGGGAAATTCTCGAGGCGGGACAGAACTTCGAAGTTTGAAAGTGTCAGAGCGCGTCGACTCAGCCAATCCCAAGGTCCCTACTACACCTCTTTTCTGCTCCTCTTTCCTGCACCTCTTTCCTCTGCCGAGGTCATCAAGAAGCTGTACATTTCTTCCAGATTCCAGATTCTAGATTCCATCTCTTCATCCATCCAAGCTTTGAGCTTTCCCCTCAGTAACTCTTTGCGTATCATGAGCCAAATGTCAGAATAAGCTAGTCGTTAGTTATTGAGGTCAACCTTCGAAGCGCGCAATCTGTATACTCTAGTTAGCAAGATGACGAAAGCAACAGGAAGCATGCAGGGAGGAAGTAGGAGAGCTGTAGACCCACCAGAGTCGCTTATACCAAGAGTCTTGAACGAGTGTCAGGAATCAGTCGCGTCTCACCATAGAAACAGTTTGCTTCTCCTCCAGTGTGTTCGCCAACACCGAGACGATTTCTCGCCGACCTTTGTTGATGTCGTTCGACCCGCTCTCCTCAGCACGAAAGCTGGCAGCCCTGGCGACAAGGTGCTTCGGTTCTTCAAGACATTCCTCGGCGTATTGGTCGCAGAGGGAAGCGAGGGCGAACGGGAGATGATGGAGGAGCTGCTGTGCCTTTTCTCGCAGTACAGCGAGGCGCGCAGCAAGGCCGTGCGGGTCAACGTCACCAGAGTGCTCTCGGAGGTATGCCACTCTCTCCCGTTCCGATCAAGATGATATGTTATTGCAGAACTCAATCTGGTCTTATTCAAAGCGTTTCTGGTCTTAAACTAAGCATATCAGGCCTTAATCTAAACGTTTCAGGTCTTGCTCTCAGCGTCTCAAGTTATTTTGAATCCTGCAGGTGCTGAATTCGTTGCCCGGCAGCTTCAGTCTGTCAGCCGACGCCATCGTGATCATCCGCGAGTTCTTGCATTGCCGAATGGATGACAAAATCGCCGTCATCCGCGCGTGGGCCGCCAGGGCGCTCAAGCGCATGGTGACATTCGAGGAAGATGGCGGGGTGGACGTGGACACGACCATCGGGTTATTCCGCGAGAAGATGAAGACCGAGTCGAGCTCCGTAAGCCTCGTCATTCGTATGCTCCACTCTCTGGACACCCGTTTCCCATTGTCCTCTGAAACTGCGAATCTGTATGAGTTGTCATGAAGATGGCTATCAGCGTGGTGCCTGAATGGAAATACATTTGGTTGCGCGTGGTGCAGGAGGTGCGCGAGGCGATGGTGTGGTCACTGCCGGAGTCCACGAGCACCATTCCCGACATTCTCGAGCGCACGGCGGACGTCAGCGAGCGGGTCAGAGCCGCGGCGTACAAGTCCTTCGCCGAGAGATTCTTTCCCATCGAAAGCTTCAGGTGCGCTCCCACTCTCTCTTCCGCACCACTGCACTAGCCACGGTTGTCGTGGAGCTGATTTTTTGTTTCTATGGCATGGCGTGTGTGTGTGTATCCGTCGCAGCATCCGGCAGCGAGTGCAGCTGCTGTCGCAGGGTCTGGGCGACCGGTCGCCGACGGTGCGGTCGGCGTGTGTGGAGCTACTGTGTCGCGCGTGGCTGTCGCGCGACTGCGAGGGCGACCTGGTGCGACTGCTGCGACACGTGGACGTGGAGAGCCACGAGGCGGTGGCGGAATCGACGGTGCGGGAGGTCCTGCAGGCGCACAGCGCGGGGTGCGGCGACATGGAGCTGGTCGTGCCTGAAGGGGGGCTGCGTGCCGCTGTCAAGCAGATGTCCACTCCTGCAGAAGGCAAGTTCTTGGAGGAAATGTTAGGAGCCGAGCCACATACATCGAACCAGGCTAGGTCGCATAGCACGTGGTCGCGACGAAGAGAGTGAATTACATGAAAGATAGATTAACGTGTGAATCACAGAGATTGTGATTTCGCTCCAGCGGCGAGTCTCATGTCTCTCCTCCGCTCGTGGTTGGTGCAGGGAGGTCGGAGGAGGCAGCAGCAGCAGGGCTGCTAACGGCGGAGGAGGCGCTCTTTTGGCGCATGCTGTGCCTGCACCTCTCCGCGCAGGCCAATGTCAGTTCGCTCCTGCTCTTGCTTCTCACGTGCTTGCATTTTTCCCACTTGCTGAATTCGCGCTTGCTGTCGTTCGCCTTGAAGACGACGTGGGTCTGACGTTGCGTGTCCTCGTATTGCTGCAGGAGAACGGATCAAATGCCGCAATATCCGCTGGCGCAGCAGCGGTGGTGGCAGCAGAAGCAGCGAGCGACCTGAACGCGCAGCTGGAGGCCCTGGTGCCAGCCACGGCGCAGGACTACCTGACGCTGCTGGAGACGCACATGCAAGCAGGTACGGGGCCATTAGCTTAGCACCAAAGCAGGGGTATGAGGACCGCCTCTGACCGTTTGTTCCGACGTGTAACCTATGCCTCTTTTTCCTCGCGCAGGGTCCGAGGGTCGGTTCGCAGCGCGGCAGCTGATGCAGCTGGCGGCGGTACTCGACTTCACCGACGCCACCATCCGCGCGCACGCCGCCGCGCTCGTGCACCGCCACCTCGTCGGCGCGCAGCCGGCGCGCGAGGAGGCGGGGGAGGAGAGCGCCGAGGCGGAGGACGAGTGGGAGGAGGGCGTGGCAGACGGCAGGTGGGGCGAGGCTCTGCTGGGGCTGGCGCAGCGCGTGCACGCCTCGGATGCTGACGTGCTCGCTGCTCTCGTCGACGCTCTGGCTGACGTCAGCAAGCCGATGATGGCGGGCGTGGCGGGTGTGGATGGTGTGAGCGAGGGGCAGTGGCTGCGGTGCGTGGCGGCGACGCGCATGGTGCTGCGGCTGTGCTGCAAGTCGGCAGGCGGCGGAGCGTTCAGGGCGTGGAGGAACCTGCGCGTTGAGCCGCAGGAGGCGCTCAACTGCATCCTCGTCCCCGCGGTACGCGCGCGCGCTGCCCCACGACGGTGTGCACGCATTCGCTGCACTGCGCCCGTGACTGTATTCATTCTCCGTGACCCGTGTGCTCAAACATTATTCCCGCTTCCTCCCTCCCCCCTCCTGTGCTGGCAGGCGTCGCACCCGTCACCACTGGTGCGCGCTGAGGCCGTCGGCGCGCTGCACGCCTTCGCCATGCTGCACGCGCCGTCCGCTCGCGCCCACCTGCCTCTGCTGCACGCCGCCGCGCGCGACTCCGCGCACCCCGGCGTGCAGATGGCGGCCGTGCGCGCCCTCGCGGACCTGCTGCTCTGGCACCGCCCCGCCGCGCTGCTGCCCGACATCGTTGCGCCCGCCCTTAGCGACGAGGGCGAGGGGAGTGCGGTGAGCGGGTGCAGTGCGGGGGAAGAGGCGCAGCGCGCAGGAGGAGCGCGTGGAGGTAGGGTGGCGGAGGTGGCGGAGGGGAGCGTGGACGTGCTGGTGGGGCTGGTGCCGCTGGAGGGCGGACAGGTGGACATTGAGGGGGTGAGGGAGGACGTGCAGCGCGCAGGGCGACAGGCGGAGGGGGAGGACGAGGAAGAGGCGGAGGGCGTGGTGGGCGTGGTGTGCGAGGGGCTGAGCAAGCTGCTGCTAGCAGACGCGAGCAGGGCCGTAGGGAAGGGCGCGGAGAGGGGGGCGGAGGGCAGGGTGGAGCGAGTGTTGCAGGTGCTGGTGCAGGTGTACCTGTGCCCGGGCGCCGCTGAAGACGAGCTGCCCAGGTGCGTGGCGCTGTGTGTGTGGGTATCTCTGGAAACGATTGTCCCACAACGACTCCTCTGGCTTGTCTTTCCCTCTGAGTCTGCTCTATGGTGTGTCTACTCCGTAGATGCCTTTTCCTCATCATCTCCCCTACCACCCCCCCTCCTCGCTCGTGCCTCACAGGACGCGTCAAATGCTAGCAGAGCTGTTCAACCGAGTGGCCGTGCTGCCAGCCTGCAAGGTACGCCACCAACCCCACGCTGATAGCCAACTACTGCTTTTTCTGGTAGCCTCACTTCCTTTGACAGTCTGTCGCTGTGGCACCTCACTCCTCCCTCACTCACTCTTCCCCGTTCACTCCCTGTCCACGAATCCCTCCCTGTCATCCCTGCCCAGGTGGCAGCGTCACGTCTGCTGCTGCCAGTGTTGCGGCAGTTGTGGCCGCGCAAGGCGGCAGCAGCAGCGCGGCAGCCTGCAGTGCGTGCCTCGCAGCTGCTTCTCTCCCTCATGCTCGCTCATGGCGCCCACGGAGTCGTGCCGCCTAAGCAGAGTGGAGAGGGCGAGGGGGAGAGGGAAAGAGAGAGAGCGGAGGAGGGAGAGGAGGAGGCCGAAGGAAGAGCAACAGGTGGTGGTGATGGTGAGGGCGAGAATAGTGGAGTGGGTGAGAGGAGCTGCGTGGAACAGCCAGCGGTGGGCTTCGAGTCTCGGGCTCTTGATCTTGCTGCTGAGGTGGGTTCCCTTCCCACTCTGCTGCCCTCGTGTGCACCTCCGCCAACGGCCATTCAGCCCTTGTATCTCACTCTCTCCCTTTACCCGCACTGCCGCACGCTCTGCTGTGATGCTGAGCCCTGTGTGCTGTGATGCTGAGCCCTGTGTGCTGTGATGCTGAGCCCTGTGTGCTGTGATGCTGAGCCCTGTGTGCTGTGATGCTGAGCCCTGTGTGCTGTGATGCTGAGCCCTGTGTGCTGTGATGCTGAGCCCTGTGTGCTGTGATGCTGAGCCCTGTGTGCTGTGATGCTGAGCCCTGTGTGCTGTGATGCTGAGCCCTGTGTGCTGTGATGCTGAGCCCTGTGTGCTGTGATGCTGAGCCCTGTGTGCTGTGATGCTGAGCCCTGTGTGCTGTGATGCTGAGCCCTGTGTGCTGTGATGCTGAGCCCTGTGTGCTGTGATGCTGAGCCCTGTGTGCTGTGATGCTGAGCCCTGTGTGCTGTGATGCTGAGCCCTGTGTGCTGTGCCACAAACGTGCTGTCTTGCACGCCTCAATCACCCCACATGTCATGCTCTTTCCCCTTCTGCCCCAGATCCTATCCTCCCCACTGGCCACGTCAGGCAGTGCGAGCGGGAGGGCGTACAGTGCGCACCTGGTGCACCTGCTGGTGGAGGTGCCGCTCAGAGCCTCCCAGCAGGACGACGTCAAATGCCTGCGCTCGCTGCTCCCCATGTAAGACTCTTCCCATCACCAGAGCATCCGTTCAATGCTCTTGCCATTTCCAGACAACAGAAAAGGCACTCCTTGTCCCAGTCCTGCAGCTCTGCACCCACCACCACTCACCTGCGAATCCCATCCAATATAATGCTCCCGCCCATCACCCACCACCACCACTCACACGCGCCCCACTCTGAACCCGTCGTTCCCCCTCCCCCTCCCCCGCGCGCCTGGTCCGGTGGCAGGGTGGCGGAGGCAGTGCAGGGGCAGCGTGCGGCGCAGCGGCTGGTGGAGCAGCTGGCAGCGCGGCTGAGGGCGCTGGACGCCACTCCGGACGAGGAGCTGCCCTTGGAGCGCCTGGAGCAGCTGCTGCAGCGCGGTGAGGGGGGAGGGGGAGGAAGGGGGAAGATGAGCAGCGTGTGGGGGGGAGATTGGGGAGGCATGGGTGGGGAATAAAGGCATGGGGGATGCGGAGATAAGGGGGATTTCTGTGTTGAGCCGTAGAAGCAGCAGGTGTGGATGCATTGTGTGATTCACCTTTACGTGCTCTGCTGTGCTGTGCTGTGCTGCCATGTGTGCCCTGCTTGCAGTGGATGGCGATGCAGCCAGTGCGTCAGAGGCAGGGCAGAGTGGTGCATCTGCCATGGAGGGATGCTCTCCGCCAGGCAGGAGGCGACGAGGCAAGCCGCCAGGTACGCTGCTCCGTATGCTGCTTGTGCTTCCACACGTGCTGCTTGTACTCCCTCAAGCCTGTGGGTTGTTGCGCCATGCACCACCTGCTGCGAGGGCACGGCCACGCCAACACTCCTTTCTCATTGCTTGCCTGTTTGCTCCCTCTCCCCCATGCCTCTCGCCCGTGCCTCTCGCCCGTGCCTGCACAGCGCCAGCCCGCCGCACCTCCCCCTTGTGCAGCCCCAACCCCACCACACCGGTGCAGCGTTCTGCTCGCCCCTCACGGCAGTGCAAGGCAGTGGCCAACAGCCGCCTCAAGCAGCAGCTGGGAGGTCACAGCAGCGCCGGCAGACCCGCGGTCGGCGAGGCAGCGGTTGGGGAGAGTGAGGGAGTGGATGCAGGGGAGGGGGTGGAGCAAGTGGGTAGGGAGGGACAGAGCACGGCAGCAGATGTGCCGCCTGAGGCTCACAGCAGTGGGAGTGAGGAGGAGAGCGAGAGCAGTGACAGTGAGGAGTATGGGAGTGGAAGTGAGAGTGGAAGCGAGGAGGAGTACAGGGCGTCAGTGGGCAGACACCAGAGGGGCGCGCGGGCACAGGAGCAGACTAGTGGGCCACGGCGAGTGGCGTCCGTGATAGCTGCTGTGAGGAGGCGCAGGAGCAGCTGCAGCAGCAGTGGTGGTGGTGGTGGTGGCAGGGACGCGCCCATCTCCATCTCCACCGACTCAGACTCTCAAGACGTGATCGAGGTGGTGGAGGTGGTGCCGGGGGTGGCAGGCACACACAGCAAGCGCGTGCAGCCCAAGGAGGAGGCAGAGAGCATATCTGAGGAGGTGGAAGAGGTGTTGGAGGATGAGAGCGTGTGCATGGCGGCAGGGCTCCACGCTGACAGCCCCAGTGTGGGCCGCACAGCACCAAGGGATGACGCCTCCCCTGCAGCACGGGGGGCGGAGGACTCCCCTGCGGCGTCAGTGGGCAGTGACGCCACGTCCTTTGCATCGGCGCTGAGTGACGACCTCCTCCTGCCCTCGCCCTCGCCCTTGCCTGCTGCCATGCCCGCTCGGCGTGCCGGTGCCAGGCAGAGGCGCTTCGTGCTTGATGATGGCCGTGAGAGGGAGAGCGAGGGTGAGGGTGAGGGTGAGGGTGAGGGTGAGATTGCGAGTGGGAGTGGGGATGGAAGTGAGAGTGAGAGTGAGAGTGAGAGCTGGGGTGAGAGTGGGGATGGGAGTGATGTGGAGAGTGGCAGTTGCACCAAGGGCACAAGGGTGGTGAGAGGACGGCCGGGAACGCAGAGGGCAAGTGGGATTGAGAATGAGAATGGGGTGGTGAGGGGGAAGGCGGGCAAAAGTGGTGATGTGCCAGTGGGAGCGGAGAGGCGGCAGCCTCTGGCACATCGCACTGCCCAGTGATGCGCTGCAGCAGGTGCAGTGACAGCAAGACGGGATCGACACACTGCACTCCACTGCTCTACCGACCTCTGCTCTGTCCTGGCTGAATACTGAATATCCATAGTTGATCTACTCCAGTGCAAACGTTTAAGTTCCTCTATATTCTTATATTCTGCTACAGTTCTAGCCTGTACGTTTTACTACTGCTTTGGTGGAGACAGGAGTTATGATACATGCCCCTCAACCAAGAGAATGGGAGCCGCCCCTTGCTGTGCATGTAATGTGAAACACTGTTTGTTTAAGGCTGTTTGAACATGTAATCATTTCTTGGTAGATCAATCAGGCTGTTTGTTTTTCAGTGTTTTGGCCTTAGACGCCACTGAATAACAGAGTTTTACCTGCTAGGCACACTGAGTGACCAGCGTGCCCCTAAAACAATCTGAGGGCCTGCTATGCATACATAGGAGCAGTCAAAATTGGTAGAAGCACTGCTTCTGTCTCTACGTTATGGAGCACTTTCAAGCACCATGTGATGTGAGTCCATGGCATGACATGGCATGTTCAGCGCACACGGCCGCAGCGGTCGCAGGGCTCCTTGCTGTGCGTCTTGTTGTCGGCGCCTGCAGCAGCAGCCTGCGCCACAAGGCGCGGCATGTCCTCCCCCAACACCGCCTCCAGCGCTGCTGCTGCCCGCCCCAGCTCCTCCTCCCTGCCATGCCCATGCCCGTGCCATGCAGCAGGTGGGGTGGTCAGGTGTGTGGGGGTGTTGGGGGTATGGATAGTGGATGAGGAAAGAGTAAAGAGTGCTAGATTGCAAAACACGAGACAGCCGTACAATTGACAGGGCTTCAGCAGGTGGAGCGATGACAGCATGGGGGCACGAGGGAACGGATTTGTAAGGGGATGAGGGGATGAATGAGTGAGGGGGTGAATGAGTGAGGGGATGAATGAGTGAGGGGGTGAATGAGTGAGGGGCTGAATGGGCGAAAGCACGAGGGCATGAGATGAGAGAGGCAGGGCATGAGATGAGAGAGGCAGGGCATGAGATGAGAGAGGCAGGGCATGAGATGAGAGAGGCAGGGCATGAGCGAGAATGAAAGGGCACGCACGAGATGGTGAGGGGGGGAGCGAGGCGGATGATGGTGTTGTGGGTGGGCTTGGCCAGCACGCCGCGCTCCTTCATCGCCACACACACGTCCAGCGCCGTCACTCCCCCCGGCAGCCCCTCCCCCGCCACCTGCACCGCCACCAGCAGCCCTCGCCCCCGCACCTCGTGGATCAGGTGGGGGTACCGCACCTGCACTGCCTTCAGCTGCGCCTGTAGCTGCTCCCCCAGCCGCTGCGCCCTGGGGGAGGCAAAGGGGAAGTTGTGAGGGGGTCGAGGGGAGGGGGAATGAGTGGAAGGGGTTGAGGACATGGGAATGTGCAGAGGTGGCACGTGTGAGCAGAAAGAGCGTTCGAGACATGGTTGTCATGCCCCGTGCATTCGAGACATGGTTGTCATGCCGCGTGCATTCTTCCCCATGTCCACTCTCACAGCGCCTCCCCTCCCATCCCATGATTCTGCATGGAATGGAACAGCCAGCCACTCAACCTCCCATCCCACCAGCCCTCCCTAACCCGCACCGCCCCTCCGTGCACCCCCCAATCCACATTCCCCCCTGCCTACACCCCCCTGCCCCGCACCTGTCGGCCAGCCCACCCTCTTCAATCTCCGCCAGCGCCGCCAGCGCCACTGCTGACGCCAACGGGTTGCCGCCAAACGTGCTGCAGAGGAGGGGGAGAGGGGGGAGTGCGCACAGGGGAGGGGGAGGAGAACAAAAGGGAGGGAGAGGGGCCAGGGGTAAGGACGTGCGTTGAGGCGAGGGCATGCAGAACAGGAGGGCATGCAGAACAGGAGGGCATGCAGAACAGGAGGGCATGCAGAACAGGAGGGCATGCAGAACAGGAGGGCATGCAGAACAGGAGGGCATGCAGAACAGGAGGGCATGCAGAACAGGAGGGCATGCAGAACAGGAGGGCATGCAGAACAGGAGGGCATGCAGAACAGGAGGGCATGCAGAACAGGAGGGCATGCAGAACAGGAGGGCATGCAGAACAGGAGGGCATGCAGAACAGGAGGGCATGCAGAACAGGAGGGCATGCAGAACAGGAGGGCATGCAGAACAGGAGGGCATGCAGAACAGGAGGGCATGCAGAACAGGAGGGCATGCAGAACAGGAGGGCATGCAGAACAGGAGGGCATGCAGAACAGGAGGGCATGCAGAACAGGAGGGCATGCAGAACAGGAGGGCATGCAGAACAGGAGGGCATGCAGAACAGGAGGGCATGCAGAACAGGAGGGCATGCAGAACAGGAGGGCATGCAGAACAGGAGGGCATGCAGAACAGGAGGGCATGCAGAACAGGAGGGCATGCAGAACAGGAGGGCATGCAGAACAGGAGGGCATGCAGAACAGGAGGGCATGCAGAACAGGAGGGCATGCAGAACAGGAGGGCATGCAGAACAGGAGGGCATGCAGAACAGGAGGGCATGCAGAACAGGAGGGCATGCAGAACAGGAGGGCATGCAGAACAGGAGGGCATGCAGAACAGGAGGGCATGCAGAACAGGAGGGCATGCAGAACAGGAGGGCATGCAGAACAGGAGGGCATGCAGAACAGGAGGGCATGCAGAACAGGAGGGCATGCAGAACAGGAGGGCATGCAGAACAGGAGGGCATGCAGAACAGGAGGGCATGCAGAACAGGAGGGCATGCAGAACAGGAGGGCATGCAGAACAGGAGGGCATGCAGAACAGGAGGGCATGCAGAACAGGAGGGCATGCAGAACAGGAGGGCATGCAGAACAGGAGGGCATGCAGAACAGGAGGGCATGCAGAACAGGAGGGCATGCAGAACAGGAGGGCATGCAGAACAGGAGGGCATGCAGAACAGGAGGGCATGCAGAACAGGAGGGCATGCAGAACAGGAGGGCATGCAGAACAGGAGGGCATGCAGAACAGGAGGGCATGCAGAACAGGAGGGCATGCAGAACAGGAGGGCATGCAGAACAGGAGGGCATGCAGAACAGGAGGGCATGCAGAACAGGAGGGCATGCAGAACAGGAGGGCATGCAGAACAGGAGGGCATGCAGAACAGGAGGGCATGCAGAACAGGAGGGCATGCAGAACAGGAGGGCATGCAGAACAGGAGGGCATGCAGAACAGGAGGGCATGCAGAACAGGAGGGCATGCAGAACAGGAGGGCATGCAGAACAGGAGGGCATGCAGAACAGGAGGGCAGGACAGGGCGGGCAAGGAGACGTGGGAGGGCATGAACATGGGCATGAACATGGGCATGGGCATGGGCATGGGCGTTGCAAATCAGGGCAGCAGGTCGAACACACTGCACCTGCCATCACACCGCCCCCCCCATCCCCATTATCCATTCCCATTTCCCAATTCCCCATTCCCCGCTCTCCCAATAGAGGCGCGTCAGAAACAAGCTGCGCACAGCGCACCTGCCATCACAGCGCACCTGCCATCACAGCGCACCTGCCATCACAGCGCACCTGCCATCACAGCGCACCTGCCATCACACGCTCCCCACCCTCCCCATTCCCCATTCCCACCCCCCACCACCCGTCCCTGCCCCACCTGCCGTGCTCGCCCGGTCGGATACACCCCATGACGTCATCATCCGCCAGCACCGCACTCACTGGCACCACCCCCCCTCCCAACGCCTTGCCCAGGATCTGATGGGGGGGGAATATAGAGCAGTATAGAGCAGAGCAGAGCAGAGCAGAATAGAGCAGAGAAAGAAATACAGAGCACAGTATAGCAATATAGAGGGAAGAGCAGAGATATATAAAGCAGCATAGAGCAGAGCAAGAAATACAGAGCACAGTATAGCAATATAGAGGGAAGAGCAGAGATATATAAAGCAGCATAGAGCAGAGAAAGAAATACAGAGCACAGTATAGCAATATAGAGGGAAGAGCAGAGATATATAAAGCAGCATAGAGCAGAGAAAGAAATACAGAGCACAGTATAGCAATATAGAGGGAAGAGCAGAGATATATAAAGCAGCATAGAGCAGAGCAGAGCATGGGAGCAGAGGGCACTGACGAGCACGTCAGGGCGCACGCCCTCATGGTCGCACGCGAGCATCCTGCCCGTGCGGGCGAGGCCCGTCTGGATCTCATCGGCCAGCAGCAGCACGCCGTGCTGGGAGCACAGCTGCCGCACCGCCCGCAGGTAGCCCTCCGGGGGCACCACCACGCCCGCCTCGCCCTGGATGGGCTCCACTATGAACGCCGCCACCCGTGGGCCGTGCTCTGGGGGAGAGGCACGGCAGGGTGGTGGGGGATTGGGGGGTTGGCGAAGGGGAGGGTGTTGAGGGTCGAGGCAGAGGGCATGAGGGAGCATGATAGAAGCACGATGGCATGGGAGCGTGTTGACATGATAAGCTGATGGCGCGACGGCATGCGCCATGCTTCAACACACCCCCACCTCCGCTCCCTCTTCGCCACACACTTGCCTTGCCGCCCACCATGCGTCGCCCCCCACTCACCCGCCAGCAGGCGCTGCAGCCCGTCCACGTCCCCGAAGTCCACCTTGAGGTGGCCGGGCAGCAGCGGGCCGAAGCCGCGCGTGGCGTCGTTGTCACACGACATGCTGATGGCCGCCATGGTTCGCCCGTGGAAGCACCCGCAGCACGAGATCACCAGCGCCTGGGCGGAGGAGAGGGGGGTGAGGGGGGCGGAGAGGGCAGAGGGGCCGGAGGGGCATGGCATGGCAGGGCAAGGCGTGGCAAGGCGTGGCAAGGCGTGGAAAGGCGTGGCAAGGCGTGGCAAGGGATGACGAAAATTCCCACTTTTATCATCAGCTACCCCATCTCCCCTCCCCCTTCCCCCTCCCTCTCCCGCTCCCCCCGTCTCCCTCTCCTTCCCCATCTCCTCCTCCCCTCCACCCCCCCACCTGGTTGGCGGGCACACCCTTCTTCTCGTACGCCCACTTGCGCGCCACCTTGAGCGCGGTCTCGACGGCCTCAGCGCCCGTGTTCATGGGCAGCACCTTGTCGTACCCCATCAGCGCCGTGATGCGCTGCGCGAACAGCGGGAAGCGGTCGTTGTGGAAGGCGCGCGACGACAGCGTGCACCGCTCCGCCTGCTGCTGCAGCGCCGCCAGTATGCGCGCGTTGCCGTGGCCCTGCATGGGGAGGGGGGAAGGGGGGGAGGCGCGCGGAGCGGAGATAAGGCCCGCGTCTGGCGAGTGCACCCCAACCGCCCCTCCCTCGTGCCGTTCTCCCGCCCATTCCTCCCCTCAACCAGTTCCCGCCTGCCTCGGCCACTGCACAGAACCTCCCTCGTCTCACCCCTCGTCTCGACCCCCCTCTCAAAACCCTCTCCGCGCATTCCACCCCTGCGCGCACCTGGTTGACGGCGGAGTAGGCGGAGAGGAAGTCAAGGTACTCGCGCCCCTCGGGGTCCGTGATGCGCGCGCCGTGCGCCTCCGCGAACACCACTGGCAGCGGGTGGTAGCTGGGGGAGGGGGGGCGTGCGAAGGCGGGCGGACGGGCGGATGGGGAAACGCGCGGATTTAAGGAGCGGTGCGGCGAGGACGAGTGTGGCGGAGAGTGGGCACAAGCTCTCTTGCGGAATTCGGGCGCACATGCAAGCGCGACGCCATCCCGGTCCGACATCTCTATGAATGCCCTGCTCGCACGCCGCTCACTTGCGCGCGCCACTAACTTGCGCGCACCACTCACTTGCGCGCGCCACTCACTTGCGCGCGCCACTCACTTGTGCGCGCTGCTTTTCTCCTCCATTGAAATCAACTCGCTCGACGTCGCGTGGCCCTCCGACGTCGCAGCGCCGTCAGCGGCGCTCGAAAACCGTCGCGCGACGGAGCCAACGCCGCCAAGCGGGGAAGTCTCCGCCAGCCACGGCGCTGCGCGCGAGACGACGCGTCGTCCAAGCCTCGCAATGGGTGCCGCCATGGCGGAAAACGGCGGTGGCGGGTGAAGTGCGCGGCTTAGTGAGAAGAGAAGTCGTGTGGCGGCTGAGCGTATCAGGTGGCGACCACGTGGGCAGGTCTAAGTGGAAGAAACCAAGTGGGAGGACAAAATGGGGCGCTGAGAAGGAGAAAGCGGCGCAGGAGATTTACAGTTTGCGAGCACAGCGACCTCACGAACTGTCCAGCGCGATGTTCGTCAACGACATTCATGGGAAACGGCTACACTTTCGCGAAGACACATAGGCCGAGAGAGATAACTGTAGTTTGGATATGCTTAGAAGCACCAACTAATAACCCAACAAATCCTGATTGTGCACCTAAAAGTCCCTACATCGTGAAAGCTGTCCTGCAAAAGAATTAAGATAACTCCATATTACATCATGTTTGGCCATTGGCAACTGCATCACAGGCTAATGCCTCCACAAATGCTGCCTTTAAATGGCCATTTGAGGCCGCCACTCGACATGCCATCACATCAAAGGGGCCTCCGCTCCTGCCACACACAAGAAGACATCACCAGATTCAAGTTCTCGATGAAAAGAAACACATTGAAGAATCAATATAATGCTGTTGTGCATGTCAAAGATGACAGGTCTTTAGAGCAGGGAGGGCGAAGGGAGGGCGAAGGGAGGGCGAAGGGAGGGCGAAGGGAGGGCGAAGGGAGGGCACTGACGGGTCAAAGCAGAGGCCGCCCGCTTCCTCCACGATCAGCGACCCCGCTGCTACGTCCCTGATGCGTGCACCGAGGGAGAGCGGGGCGTGAGGGGGGTGTGGGGGGTGAGTGCATGAGGGGGGAATGAGGGAAGCGTGAGGGAGGTGTGAAGGAGGTGTGAGGGAGGTGTGAGGTGCACGTGAGGGGGTTGTGAGGGAGACAAGAGGGAGAAAGACGTGTGTGAAGCAGTTTGAATGACGCGAGGGAAGAACTGTGTGACGACACGCCTCACGTGCAGTAGCTGCTGCCACTGCCCCCACACACACCATGCCCTGCCCTGACCTTCTTGGCAGCTTTGCAGCAACCACACCATATCCCCCCTCCTCTTCTCTTCCACTGCTCACCCCACCCCCACAGCACTGAGGGGCAGAGGGCAGAGGGCACGCACCAGGGTCCACCGAAGCCGATCTCGTAGAAGAGGTCGAGGCGGCCGCATGCCACGCCCACCAGGTTCAGCGCACACGACCCTGACAGCCGCAGCGACCGCACCTGGGGCGAATTGGGAGTTGGACGAGGGAGGAGCGAGGGTGAGTTGATGGGCGGAGTGAAGGATAGGTAAGTGGAGCGGATATGATGGTGAGGCGCAGGCAGAGTGAGAGAGAGTGCACTGGAACGACAGAGGCGGGTGGGGAGGGCGGAATGCAGCAGCAGTTGGCATAGTAACGGGTGGCGCAGGGAAGAGAGCATTTTCCCTCATATCCAGTGCTCTCCCACCAGGAGTTGGGACCATCGTGGTGGACGAGTGGCAGAGGGCAGGCGGGAGGGGGGCAGCAGGGGGGCGTGCCTGGAAGAGCAGGTTGCTGATGCGCCCTGTCAGCCCTGCCACCGTGCCTGCGTCCCTCTTGGTGCCTATCTGATGCCCCCCGCCGCCATGGTGGCGGGATGGGGGGGAGAATGGGTGAGAGGAGAGGAAGGAGGAAGGAAGAAATGAAGGGTGAGCAGAAAGCTGTGCCAAGGAAGCATGCAACGGAGCACGCATACATGGGTGCATGTGAGAATGTGAGGAAGGAAGCAAAATGGCATGTGGATGTGTGCATGGGTGCATGCATGCAGGAGCGCATGAATGCGGGGGGGCATGAATGCATGGGTGCGGCGGTGCAGGGCAAGGGGAGCACCTCAGTGGCGAGTAGCGCTGACCCCATGTCTGCTTGCGAAGATGCTGCCAGGGGTGGGCAAAGGGCGATAGGGGCAGTGCAATGAGGGGAGAGGAGAGGGCACAGAGGCACCACGAGGGGAAGCGTAAGGTACGACCAGGGGGGTGATAGGTGAAGGGAAAGCAGGGAGGTGAAGGGGGGAGATTGAGGACATATGGAATGGCAGTTGGATACATAAATGACATCTTTGGGGAGAGGTGATGGGCGAGAAGGGCCACGAGCAGTGGCTGGTGGTAGCATGGCATGCATGCATTGAACGGCGGCAAGGCATGCATGCAATGAACGGCGGCATGGCATGCATGCAATGAACGGCGGCATGGCATGCATGCAATGAACGGCGGCATGGCATGCAAGCAATGAACGGCGGCATGGCATGCATGCAATGAACGGCGGCATGGCATGCATGCAATGAACGGCGGCATGGCATGCATGCAATGAATGGCGGCATGGCATGCATGCAATGAACGGCGGCATGGCATGCATGCAATGAACGGCGGCATGGCATGGCATAGACTACGTGCATACCATGGATGGGCTCGTCGTTGAGCATGGCACCATGGCCCCTCATTGCTGTGAACATCTGCACATGGCGCATGGCGCATGGGGTATGGGGCATGGCGCATGGCGCATGGCGCATGGGGTATGGGGCATGGCGCATGAGGCATTGGGCTTGGGGCATAGGGCATTGGGCATTGGGCATTGGCCATGGGGCATGGGACATGGGGCATTAAGCATCGGGCATGGGGGATGGGGCATCGGGCATTGGGCTTGGGGCATGGGGCACGAGGCATGGGGCACGGGGAATGGGAGAGAAAACATGGGGTAAGGGTGGGTGTGGAGTTGTGCAAGGAAAGATGGGCGGGGTGATGAGTGGGGGAGAAGCTGTGGTGGTGTGGCACTGCCATGAGCTGTGGTGGTATGGCACAGCCATGAGCAGAGCAGAGCAGGGGATGTGCGTGAGGCGTGTGACATGCATGAGTGAGTTGAGAGGCGGGTGGCATGGCGGGCAGGCAGGGCGACATGCCTCGTTGAGGATGGGGTTGAAGACGACCCCCACCACGACGGCCTTGTTGATGGCCAGCCCAATGGACACACACACGAATGGATACCTGCTCCCGCCACGCACGCTCCATGCCCGCATGGTGTGGGGCACAGGGGGCAGGGCATGTAGGCCAAGACGCAGAGAGGGGGGTAGATATGAATGAAGCAAAGGAGGTGATGAGATAAGGTTGAGAAGGAGAGATGATGCCGGCTGCCCATCTCCACAGGTGCAGGTTAGGGGCGCGCCAAGACTGCTGTTTGTGCCATTGCAGGGATGCACCCCCACCCCCACCGCCACCGCCATCCCCGCCGCCACCCCCACCCACCACCGCCACCCCCAGCGGCACCCCCAGCGGCACCCCCAGCGGCACCCCCAGCAGCACCCCCAGCGGCACCCCCACCCCCACCCCCACCCCCACCCCCACCCCCAGCGGCAGCGGCAGCGGCAGCGGCAGCGGCGCACCCACCGGTGCACGAAGTTGGTGGTGCCGTCGAGGGGGTCGACCATCCACGTGGGGTCGTCCCCCAGCCCCGCCGTGCCCCGCTCCGATGACTCCTCCTCTCCTATGAACTGCTGGCGCACCGTGCCGTGCCGTGCCGTGCCGTGCAGTTGAGATGGACGGTAAAGCGCAGCATGTGGGGGACATTAGAGAAGGGGAGTCAATCAAGGAAGGAAGCAAATGACCTGCATGCTACGATACGACCATAAGCTCACCACGCTACAACCCAGAACCCATGCTGCAAGCTGGCAACCCAGCGAACCCAGCAGAGCCCTTGTGTTTCGGGTTCAATCACACGCTTGCCTTGTGGGAGGGATAAGCGGCTGAGATGTGCTGCATGATGAGTGCCTCGCATTGCTTGTCCGTTTCTGTGACCAGGTCGACCTAGATGCAGCACAGTGGGTGGCGGTAGGGAGGAGAGAGGAGGGAGGGAAAGGGTATGAGTGGGGACGGCACAATGTCACGATACAAACGTTCTTGCACAACGCCTGGATGAGTTTCTGCGATGCTGCTCATGTTTCTCAACTCCAACATCCCTCGTGAGGCAGTGCGCGGCAGCTTGAGAATCTGCAGCTCCAGGCGCAGGAGAATCTGCAGCTCCAGACGCAGGAGAATCTGCAGCTCCAGGCGCACTCACATGCCATGCTCCCACATCACATGCCATGCTCCCACATCACATGCCATGCTCCCACATCACATGCCATGCTCCCACATCACATGCCATGCTCCCACATCACATGCCATGCTCTCTCATCACATCACACCACATGCCATGCCATGCCTTCGCCGTTCAACGCGCCTCACCTTGCCCTTGTGCTGCACGTCCTTTGGTGCGTTGAAGCCGCGGCGAATCACCTGGTGACACGTGTGCACGCATCCACGGACGTATGGGTGGATGAGTTGAGGGGATGGTATGATGGGGGATGGAAGGATGGAGGGGGATGGGAAGAGAGGAGAGGAAAGGAGAGGGGGAGGAGAGGAAGAGCGGAGATCAGAGGGGATTGAGAGGAGAGGGAGAGGATGGGGAGGGTTGTTGGGCGAGGCAGGTGGCACGCCGGGCAAGCGGAGGGGCGTGATGGGAAGTGAGAGGCGTGATGGGAAGTGAGAGGCGTGATGGGAAGTGAGAGGCGTGATGGGAAGTGAGAGGCGTGATGGGAAGTGAGGGGCGTGATGGGAAGTGAGAGGCGTGATGGGAAGTGAGAGGCGTGATGGGAAGTGAGAGGCGTGATGGGAAGTGAGAGGCGTGATGGGAAGTGAGGGGCGTGATGGGAAGTGAGAGGCGTGATGGGAAGTGAGGGGCGTGATGGGAAGTGAGGGGCGTGATGGGAAGTGAGAGGCGTGATGGGAAGTGAGAGGCGTGATGGGAAGTGAGAGGCGTTGGGATATGGCACGTGCGAGGGGCTGCGGGGTGCGTCAGGCGCTATGTGGCATGGTGCATGCACACGGGGTATGCACGCTCGGGGTATGCACACACGGGGGAGGACACACACACGCACGAGGCAATGCCACGCACCTCGCCCGCGTGGCGAGCGGCCGCGACAGCGACGTCCAGATACTCGCGCAGCTCCCGCTCTGCCCGCGCGCACCGCCCATGGCGCACAATCGCAATGGCGATGACACAGCACGGCGCGGCACGGCACGTGGGAATGCACAGAAGAGTCGGCACGCGTGGGCATCAGAGACAGCAGACGGCAAGACACGTGGAGAGAGACGGTCAGTCGTGCGAATCGATCAGCAAAGCCGATGATCGGCAGGATAATGATTAACGACACACATAGGTCGGTACGAAGGGTTAGCGGCAGGGCTAGCGGCAGGGCTAGCGGCAGGGCTAGGAGAGGTTTCGCGGCAGGGAGGGCGACAATGCGGAAACGCGCTACTCACCCGCGACAGCTACAGGCGTCGCCATGAGAGTCGCCTGGAGGAGCCGGCGACAGTCTGACGGGAGACGCGAGGCGAGATGCGTTGCAGGGGCAGGAGATGCGAGGGCGGTGCGTGCGATTGATCGCTGATCAGGTGCAGGTCAGATGTGGTGCGTTCAAATGACCCGTATAACGAACACCGTTTTGGTGTCAAGCGTCAATGATTTGAACTGATGTAGCTACAGCAGCTGAATGCAATTTTTTATTCCACCAAGGAAAATATTAACTTCTATTCTATATAATCTAAAACAGCTGAGAGAAATCTGCACAGCAGATGCAGCCTACAATGTTTTAATCCTAGCGAAACACGTGGGAGGTGGTGTGAGGACAGGACTCAATAGCCGTCGGGGTGCAGTCGGCGCCAGCGCCAGGCCATGGCGAGCGAGTCCTTGAGGTCCGTGTACTTGGCCTTCCAGCCGAGCTCACGGTAGATCTTAGAGGGGTCGCTGTACACCTCCGCGTAGTCCCCCGGCCGCCGCGCCTTCTGCTCCATCACCTTTATGGGCGCCCCTGTCACGTTCAGACACGCATTCACGAACTCCCGCACCGAGTACCCTGCTCAGACACGGTGGGGCAGGGCAGGGCAGGGCAGGGCCAGGCAGGGCACGGCAGGGAGAGCGAGGGTGTTCCAGGAAGAAAGCGAGGAGGGAGGGCAGGGTTGGCATTAGCACTTATGCCAAGGATAGAAAAAAGCAGGATGGGACTCGTGGGAAGGAAACAGCAAAAGACAGCGCGGTGATGGTGGTGGTGAGCTAGCAGCATGGAGGGGCATGGGGTGGGCACCTTTGCCAGTGCCGACGTTGTAGATGTTAACAGTGCCGGGTGTGAGGTGGTGCATGGCGACCACGTGTGCATTGACGAGGTCCGTGACGTGGATGTAGTCGCGGATGCACGTGCCGTCCGCTGTGGGGTAGTCCGTGCCCATCACCTGCCGGGGGGCACAGCCAGCACAGCACACAGACACATGCTTCATGTGCACCCAACGAGGTGACTGTTGAGTCGACTCAGCCCATAGTGAACGGTGTGGGGTAGTGCAGGCGTATCACCGGGCATGCAGTGGGGATATGAATGGAGCCCGCTTGCTAGAGTGGCCTGGCATGCTGCGGCTCTCCCTCATGGGCGGTGAGCTGGGGGTTGTGTTGTGTGTGCCCACAACCAGCAGTGCAGCAGTGCAGCAGAGAGAGAGAGAGAGAGAGCAGAGAGCAGGCACATGCACTATGTGTGTGCACCCAATTCTACAGGCATATGCACCATGTGTGTGCACCCAATTCTACAGGCATATGCACCATGTGTGTGCACCCAATTCTACAGGCACATGCACCATGTGTGTGCACCCAATTCTACAGGCATATGCACCATGTGTGTGCACCCAATTCTACAGGCATATGCACCATGTGTGTGCACCCAATTCTACAGGCACATGCACCATGTGTGTGCACCCAATTCTACAGGCATATGCACCATGTGTGTGCACCCAATTCTACAGGCACATGCACCATGTGTGTGCACCCAATTCTACAGGCACATGCACCATGTGTGTGCACCCAATTCTACAGGCACATGCACCATGTGTGTGCACCCAATTCTACAGGCACATGCACCATGTGTGTGCACCCAATTCTACAGGCACATGCACCATGTGTGTGCACCCAATTCTACAGGCACATGCACCATGTGTGTGCACCCAATTCTACAGGCACATGCACCATGTGTGTGCACCCAATTCTACAGGCACATGCACCATGTGTGTGCACCCAATTCTACAGGCACATGCACCATGTGTGTGCACCCAATTCTACAGGCACATGCACCATGTGTGTGCACCCAATTCTACAGGCACATGCACCATGTGTGTGCACCCAATTCTACAGGCACATGCACCATGTGTGTGCACCCAATTCTACAGGCACATGCACCATGTGTGTGCACCCAATTCTACAGGCACATGCACCATGTGTGTGCACCCAATTCTACAGGCACATGCACCATGTGTGTGCACCCAATTCTACAGGCACATGCACCATGTGTGTGCACCCAATTCTACAGGCACATGCACCATGTGTGTGCACCCAATTCTACAGGCACATGCACCATGTGTGTGCACCCAATTCTACAGGCACATGCACCGTGTGTGTGCACCCAATTCTACAGGCACATGCACCATGTGTGTGCACCCAATTCTACAGGCACATGCACCATGTGAGCCGCACAGCGTGTGGAGCACACGCAAGGATGACCTAACTTATAAAGCCAGCGACAGAGTAATCGCAGTAAGAGCTCGTATCATGGTGTGCAGGGTGGGAGAGCAGCACAGGGAGGAAGAGCAGCATGGGGGAAAGCAGCACGGGAGGAGAGCAGCAGGGGGCCGGGGCGAGGCGAGCGCACCTTGAGTCCGTCAATCTTGCCCATGGCGGCATCGAAGCACGCCCCGGTAATGCGCCCGTGGTGCCTCAGCTCTGGGCGAGGCGCCTCCCCCAGCCGCCCACTGGGGTCCGACCCTATCACGTTGAAGTACCTGGGGGAGGTGGGGGGGGTCAGGAGGGGAGGGGGGAGTGAGCAGGTGGGTGTGGGTGGCAGGGGAGAGGACGCCGAGGGCGGTGGAGTGAATGTGCGTGTGAGCGAGCGGAGGAGGGGGGTGTCCTACCAGGATACACTGAAGCGCATGCGGGTTCCATTGTGGGTGGGATGAGTGGCAGCAGAGGATATGGCAGGGAGGCTGCAAGGGAGATGCTAGGCACATGCAAGCAGGAGAGGCATGCATGACAACTGCCAAGCAAGCGAGAGTTCTGTGAGAATGGGTAGGCATGCAAGGGACACGATCTGAGGATAGGTAGACACATGGCAGGTGACCGGAGGACGGAAAAACAGGTGCGGAGAGGTGCGGGGACCTGAGGATGGTGGCGGCGAGGCGAGGGTTGGCGCGCGCGTAGTCGAGGATGACGTCCTCCGCCATCTTCTTTGACTTGCCGTACGGGTTTATGGGCGCCTGGTGCCACGCACCGCACACGGCAGAGGGGGGGAGGAGGGTGTGATGGGAGGGTGTATGCCACATGCACGACAGAGGTGGAGAGAAGGGGGTGGAGGGTGGGGGGAGGGGCACTTCATGAGCGCACTGCACGCACACTACAGCGTGATGGGTGCTAGCCGCTCACAAGGCAGGCAGAGGGGAGGAAGAGGGGCGGCTTGTGAAGAGTGGGAGGGCAACTGTGTGCGTCACTGTGCTCTGGTGGCATTGGCGTACCATGGCCGACCCAGCGTGGTGGGTGATGGGCATGGTGGTGGGGTCACCTGCACAGTATCCTCAGTGATGGGCATGGTGGTGGGGTCACCTGCACAGTATCCTCAGTGATGGGCATGGTGGTGGGGTCACCTGCACAGTATCCTCAGTGATGGGCATGGTGGTGGGGTCACCTGCACAGTATCCTCAGTGATGGGCATGGTGGAGGGGTCACCTGCACAGTATCCTCAGTGATGGGCATGGTGGTGGGGTCACCTGCACAGTATCCTCAGTGATGGGCATGGTGGTGGGGTCACCTGCACAGTATCCTCAGTGATGGGCATGGTGGTGGGGTCACCTGCACAGTATCCTCAGTGATGGGCATGGTGGTGGGGTCACCTGCACAGTATCCTCAGTGATGGGCATGGTGGAGGGGTCACCTGCACAGTGTCCTCAGTGATGGGCATGGTGGAGGGGTCACCTGCACAGTATCCTCAGTGATGGGCATGGTGGTGGGGTCACCTGCACAGTGTCCTCAGTGATGGGCATGGTGGTGGGGTCACCTGCACAGTATCCTCAGTGATGGGCATGGTGGTGGGGTCACCTGCACAGTATCCTCAGTGATGGGCATGGTGGTGGGGTCACCTGCACAGTATCCTCAGTGATGGGCATGGTGGTGGGGTCACCTGCACAGTATCCTCAGTGATGGGCATGGTGGTGGGGTCACCTGCACAGTATCCTCAGTGATGGGCATGGTCTTGGGTTCGCCATACGTGGCGCACGTGCTGCTGTAGATGAGCTGTGTCACGCCGTGCCGCCCCATAACCTCCACCAGCGTCAGTGTGTTGGCCGTCACGTTGTGGTAGTACCTGTGCCGTGCATGCACGCATGCACCATGCCCCATGTCAAATAAGCAGGAGGAGAGCGAGATGAGTGTAATGGACGGCAGTTGCAGAGCCATGACCGCGAGAGGCCAGTGTGCGACGTGGGATGGGGCAAGTGCCAGCCCCCTACCGTACATCCCCTCCTGCCATTCTCTCCTCCACGCTGCCACCTCTCGCTCTGCAGAACTTGCTCCATGTCCCGTGCCAACAATGCTTGCGACTCACCTCCCCCATGTGCCGCGCATGCACATGCCCCGCGCCCCATGTCACGTGAAAATAGGTCCGCACAACCAACGGGTGGGGGAGGGGGGAGGGAGGGATGGGGGTTTGGTGGGGGGGGATTGGGAGATGGGTGTGTTGGATGGCAATAGCGGTACCTGGACCCCCAGGGGCCAGTGTGAGAGGTGGATGTCAGTGATATGGCTGCCAACCTGTTCAAGTGCCACTCCCCATTCCATACGTCCCCTTTCCCTACAACCTCCCCTGCCATTCTCTACCACGCGACCACCTCTCTCGCCCCACAGGTCGCTCAATTCCCGCCCACCACACCCCCCATGCAGCTCACCTGAGCGGCTCCTGCATGCTCTCGCCCACATAAGCGACGGCAGCGAAGTGCATCACCACGTCGATGGCGTTGCTCGCAAACACCGCCTCTACCTGCCGCACAGACCCACCCATCCACCCCCCCCACACACACACAGGCACGCACGGCGCACAGCCGTGCTTCAAGTTCAAGGGGGCGGCGGTGCTTCCAGGGGTGCAATAAAAACGGTGTACGGGAAAGAGCGCATGCCACGTGGCCATGTGCGCATGATGCATGGTAGGGCAGTGCGCGCATGCATGGGGACAGGGGAGCAGACCTTGCGCGGGTCCCCCAGGTCCGCATTGATGAACTGCAGCCGCCCCTCCGGTGCTATGCGCTGCAGCACCTGCACCGCGCCCCAGTTGCCCCGCGATAGGTTGTCCTGCCGTGCACATGCGCACACATACGCGCAGACGTAGGCACAGGCGCAGGCATAGCCACAGGCACAGGCACAGGCACATGCACAGGCACATGCACAGGCACACATAGGCACACGCACGCACACACACATGCAGTGGGAAATGGGAGGAGAGTGGGGAGAGGGTGAGGAGGCGAAGAGGTGGCGCTGGAGTGGAGAGGGGCGCATGGGCGGGAGAAGGCGCAGGAGAGTTGCATGCGGCATACGAGAATCGTGACGCACGCTAAAGTGGACGTGACTCACAACAATGGTGACGCGGTGGCCGGACGTGAGGAGGTGCAGCGACGCGTGTGAGCCGATGAACCCCGCGCCGCCCGTCACCAGCACGTGCGTCACCCCCGCCTCGCGCACGCGGAACTGACGCACCGCCACACGCGCGCACCGACACGCACAGGCAGAGAGGGGGGGCACACAGGGAGGCGTGGGACACAGTTGGAACACGCGCGCAGTTGGAACACGCGCACAGTTGGACGTAGCATACGAGGAGTGAATGCGGGGAGGGGTGTGGTAGCGGGTACGGAACGGGATCGGACGCGAACCCCGCGATCAGCTCGACGCACTCTGGGAAACAAGTGAGCCTGCAGCGCCCCACCTGCATGGGAGTCGAATCTCTAGATTGGAGCACGAACATGCAGACCGCGACAAAGAGCGCCGCCAGCACCATCTTAACAGCAGATGATCTCTGCCGCCCCGTGGCCGCCGCCATGGGCGAGTCCATCCTGCGCCGCGCGCGACCGCGCCTCAACCAGCCGTGCGCGGTGCGGCAAGGGGGGAGGTAAGGAGACGGAGTGCGGGATCGTGCGCTCGTTCGTGGACTGCCGATGAATCCAATGGCGCCGCCGTGCACGCTAGCGACGACGACCACGGAAGGGCCAACGCGGAGAGAGAAGCTGAAGCCGGATTAGCAGGAGGGATTGGTGAATGAAGGCTGCACGCCACTGAGATGGCGGCTACTATGTGGTCACAGGGCTTCGGTCCCAAAAAAGCAGGGAGGGTCCTACTGAAGTGCTCTATGTGGTCCCAAAGAAACAGTGCCGGCTAATGCAAATCCCGTCGTCTCGTCAGTTGTGTTATCAGGCTCGGCTTGGACTCACCGAGCCTGGAAGTCTACACGCTTGTAGACCAGCCATGAATGGGAGGGAGGGGTGTCAGTCGATGCCTCCAAGACTGAACCAGCCAATCAACGAACCGCGGGTACCAGAGCAACTGCGTGTCAGCCCTATACAAGGATTCTCTGTAGTATTTACAATGTATGATGTGGCTGTTCACCATTTAGGAAAACAGATCTAAATGAGCAAAATTAAGGGCTTAGGAAGACGCACCATGTTCATTATTTTATTTTTTAAGACGTTATAAAGTTTGAGAAGATGTTTTGTAACACACTGTGAAGCGCAACATCATCTCTTTACGAAATATACTTATCATCTCTTTATTGGTGTAGTCTCATACGAACCTGTCCGGCCTGTATCCGATGTTACAAGCGAATCGCTGAAATTCTCCGACTCCGCCGTTGGATTGGGAACGAAATGAGAGATGCTAATCGGAGGGTCGTCCGTCGTCAAATATATCCGAGGGTCAGTATGGAAATCGAGGAGCGGGAGTTGCGGGATGCTCCCCGCAAAAGTTTCTCCCTCAGCGGGAGTTGCAGGAGCATCAGAGAGCAATCATACAAGGCAACAAGTAGGCAGTACATTCTGCTGTGTGCGCAGGAGCTTTCTAGCGAACATCTGGGGGTGTCACCAAACCAAAGCAAAGTGCTAGACAATTCCACACATAGCATACCACGTAGCAATGGCTTCGTTCCGGCAATGAGTCTAAATTCCGCGTTTTTACCGTGAGGCGAACCGTACGAAGGGCCGGGCCATCGTTATGGAATATAGGTCTGGGCCTGGGCAAGGGAAAATAGGTCAGAGCAGTCAGCCGGCCATCAAGCGGGTCCAGGCAGGCAGTCGGCCGGCGCAGGAGAGACGAGCGAGCTCGCTGAAGAAGCTAGCGCGGCGAGAAGTGAGCGCGAGAGGAAACTGGGCGTTCAAGCGCACGAGCTCGGAGGAGAAGTTCAGGAACTTCAGCCTCCAGGTGCGACCGTTGAGGCGCCTCGCAGTGAGGACCTCCGCCTTCATGCGCGAGCTTCACCTCGTGTCAACCCTAAATACGTTCGCACGTGGACGCGAGTTCCCTCGGCGCCCGTGTTGATGCGTGGCGGTTGCCCCTGCTCTCAGTACCCATCCCCACTTTGACATGCCGTTGTTCGTTCGTGCAACTTCGTCCGCACGAACCTCCTTTCTGTAGAGTTCCTCCTGCCTTACCATCCGCTTGGCGAGCAGTGCGCGCGGATTGAATGAGTTTTGTGAGTCGACCGTGCGATGCCGTGGGTGCGCGTGCAGGGAGAATACGACACGTTCGACGCCAAGGCGGCGCAGGTGGAGCGGCTGTCTTTTCTGAAGCGGCGATCGCGGATCGTGGAGATCGTGGCGGCCAAGGATCTGCTCTTCACGCTCGCGCACTCCGGAGCATGCGCTGCCATCTGCTTAGGTTCGCCTACCTATCCTTGGTTTCCATGTTCCGTTTTCCTTTTGCTCAAGCGCGTTCCGTGTCAGTCGACTCAGCCTATTCTGCTGCTGTGCCTCGTTTCTGCTGTGCGTGATTGCGGTGGCGGCAGAGTCGCGGCGGCGGCTGTGCTACATGAACGTGGGGTCGGAGGAGGTGATTCGGAGCCTCTTCTTCAACAAGAACAACGAATCGCTCATCACCGTCTCCGTCTACGCGCAGGACAACTTCAGCTCGCTCAAATGCAGAAGTACCCCGCTCGAGTGCGCCCCTGACTGTCCTCCCAATCCTTGTGTCCGTGTCTGCTTCCCCGCTACCCTCCTCTGCCTCCGTTTTCCTTCATCCCCTTCCTCATGTTCTCTCTCCGCCTTTTGGAGAGGCGTCTTTTGAACTATCGCTTTATTCCGCTGCGTCGTTCGCCTGTCACCGCTTCTCCCTCCCCCACTCTGCGCCCCCCCTGCTCTGCTCCTTCTGCCGCCCATCCAATTCTCACGTGCGCGGAAGTCACAAGGCCCTGCCCGTGTGTGGTGTGGTCCGCTCCACGTGGTGTGTGCGCGGTGCTGCGCGTGCCCTGCAGGTACATCCGGAGGGGGCGGCCCAGCGAGGGCTTTGCGCTGTTTGAGTCGGAGTCGCTGCGCTGGCCGGGCTTTGTGGAGTTTGATGACGTCAACGGCAAGGTCCTCACCTACTCCGCTGATAACGGGTATGCTGCTCCCCTCCCCCCTGTGCTGCACATGCGCTCATGCGCTCACTGCAAGCTGGCTTTGGTACTCATGTGCTTGCCCATCTGCACAGCCGCAACCACGTAGCTGCCACTTGCTTTGCACTGTCTGTCCTTGCTGTGCCTCATGGTTGCATGCGCAGAACAGCCGTTAACTTGTGTGAAATCGTTTGAGTGCGTGTGGATGCGTATGTTTTGTGCGGGGTGCAGCATGTACAAGGTGTTTGATCTGCGCAACTACACTCTCCTCTACAGTGTGCCCGACAGCAACATTCAGGAAATAAAAATCAGGTCAGGACCAGACCTGTGCCAAGTTCAAAAGAGCCTCCATCGTATGTGCCTGTTGTGCTTTCAGTCCGTATAGCATTCACCACTTTTGGGTTGTCTCAACCCATCCTGCCCACCTGCCATCCGCTTTCTGCCATCCACCATCCACTGCCTGCCATGCACCGTGCGCGGTGCAGTCCGGGCATCATGCTGCTGATCTACAACCGCGCGGAGGGGCACGTGCCGCTCAAGATCCTGTCGATAGAGGACGGGGCGGTGCTGGCGTCGTTTGTGCAGCTGCTGCAGCGCGGCAAGAAGGTGGACTTCATTGAGCAGTTCAACGAGAAGCTGCTCGTCAAGCAGGAGAACGACAACCTCCACATCCTCGACGTCCGTGCTCCTCTCCCTTCCTCTTCCGCTCCCTGCCAACCCCTATCCTTGCCCATTGCTCTTTGCTGCCTTTGCTGCGGTGCGCCTGCTTGTAACCCGTGCGGTGAATCGTTCGCATGGATTTGGTCCCTCATGCCCCGATCTACCCTGCCATCTGTCTCAACACAACATCATCGCTGCACTGTAACCCCCCTCCGTGCGGTGGTGGGCAGGTGCGCACGCGGGAGGAGACGCAAGTGAGCCGCACGGAGTTCATGACGCCCTCGGCGTTCATCTTCCTGTACGAGAACCAGCTCTTCCTCACCTTCCGCAACCGTGCCGTCGCCGTGTGGAACTTCCGCGGGGAGATGGTGACGGCGTTTGAGGACCACGAGCTGTGGTACCCCGACTGCAACACCAACAACATCTACATCACCTCCGACCAGGACCTCATCATCTCCTACTGCAAGCACCACCACCCCTCCCACGCCCCCCATGGTCAGTCCACACCACCTCCCCGTGCCTGTCTCTCATTCTAATGCCCTCTGTTTACTGTAAGCTCTTCATGGGCTGTCTATCCACCTCATCCTCCTTGCCCGCCTCTCTGCCACCCTGCATCATGCCTCTTGTATGCAGTGGGCAGCATCAACATCAGCAACATCCTCACGGGAAAACTTCTGGCTAAAATATCATCGGATTCAGAGTCGGCTCAAGCCAAATCAAAGTCCGTCCACTCGACCGTAAAGGAGGCACTGGAAGACGTTACAGCACTGTTTTATGATGAAGATAGGAATGAGATCTACACAGGAAATAGAAGTGGCTTTGTACATGTCTGGACAAACTAAACAAGCTGGATGGAGGCTAGCTATGATGAGGGCAAATGTGTTGCATGGTATGTACCCAGTCGCTAAACCAACCAACCAACCAAAACAGACTGCAAGAAAGCCAGATTCCATCATTTTAGGGCTCTGGGTTACGCAACAGACTCTGCCCAAGCCAGATAATCCTCACTGGATACCAGTATGAATAGTCGGTCTTGCACTTTGCAAGGCAGACCGCAACTCTCAGAACTCTTCGCCGCTTGCCAAGAATGGCAGGGTGTGGTTAGCCGTACTCTCTACCTCCGGCGTATGCTAATGCACTGGTGGCAGGCAGTCCAAGGCTATGTGTGCCTGGCTCTCAGTATGCCTTGGCTGCAGCAGCAGGCAGGTTATGCCCGGGCGGTGGTTATGCCCGGGCGGTGGTTATGCCTTGGCTCTGGAAGCATTAGTGGCACGTATTCTGTCCCGGTTGTCCAACTTCACCAGGCGCTCCAACTGCTCCTCTCACAGCACACACATTCCACACACACATGAAGACACCACACACGCCACACACATACCACACACACCACAGACACGAACACACTCGAACACACACGAACACACACGAACATACACAACACACACAGCACAACCACAGGAGCCAGATAAAGAAGCATGCCATGCATAGGGTACGTGAACATATACTGCATGTACCTACTTGACCATCTACCAACGCCATGCCGCACCTACGCCATGCCCACGCCTCACCTCCGCCATGCCCATGCCTCACCTCCGCCATGCCCATGCCTCACCTCCGCCATGCCCATGCCTCACCTCCGCCATGCCCATGCCTCACCTCCGCCATGCCCATGCCTCACCTCCGCCATGCCCATGCCTCACCTCCGCCATGCCCATGCCTCACCTCCGCCATGCCCATGCCTCACCTCCGCCATGCCCATGCCTCACCTCCGCCATGCCCATGCCTCACCTCCGCCATGC